GAAGACCTCTGACCTCCAGGATTGTTGGAACTGCAGCAAGCGAGCACCTTCTAAGGCTAAGTCGAGCTGTCGAATCACGCTTTTTCGGTGATACCAACGTCGAGCTAACCTCCCTGTGACTCATTTCTTCGGAGATTCCAGGTTTTTGTTTCCCATCATCAACAAAAGTGGTGTTTTCCGCGTTTTCCACGGCAAAAAAAATCGCATGTCCTTTTAGATGATTGACCGATACTCAGAGGCCATTTTTGCCTTCCCGAGGCTCACGTCGTCACTTGACCTTTCAGACAAACTCGTGACACCAGAAGCGGACCAGGCCCCGGGCTCCCCGAGAAAACAAACGGGGGCCGGCTGTGGCTTCAAGAGCTTCGGGGTTCGTGACAGGGAAAGCCCAAAGCCTCACCTCCGGAGACGGTCAAGGTCCGATCTGGTAGAAAAGTTAGAATAAGTTGGTACCAACTTTCTTCTTTTCTGTGTATTTTAGTAGGGGGGTTCGTATTTTAGTAGGGGGGTTCCCCTCCCCCAAAAAAGAAACGGTACAAGGGCAGCTGGGGAAGCTTGGTCAATGAAGCCAAAGCTTTCAACAACAACGGGCCACGTTGCGCCTTGGAACTTGCTTCGATCGGCAGGAAATGAGAGCTGGAACCCGGAACAGCCCCCCTTTCCTATGGTTTCCTTTAAGGGACTCCCCCGGAGTTGTTCCCAATTCCAACCCAAAACCCTAATGCCCTGCTGAGCACCAAGAGCAGCCTACCCACGACGCATCGACGTTTTCGCTTTCAACCCAGTGGCTTGGGGGCGATGTCTTCCAGCGTCGCATCGAAGCTGAGTCCCATGTTGCCTCAGAACGAAGTTTTTGTCTCGCGATGAGAGGCTTTGGGAGGGTTTAGGGTTTGGAAGTTTTAGGGTTTAGGGTTTAGGGCTTAGGTTTTGGGAGTTCAGGTATGATGGGTGGATGGACGGATTGCGAGGAAAAAACCAACAAGCCGTTGATAGACGTCAAGCCCAAAGACTAAAACAGGAAGTTGCCTTGGAAACCAGGGATTTCAAAATAGCCAAGAAAACAAACAAGTGGGTATTCGTGGAACAGGGTCCTATACCACCCAATCTAGGTGTCTTCGAATAGCTCGTCTATGTTTGCTTGCTGGTTGTTGAAGACCGCACTAAACTGTTTTTTTGCTCGTTTTGTGGTAGTTGCCAATCCCTGCACATGCGCCCCAAGGCAACTTGCTGATTGCTGGCAACATCACCGGAAACACGATGGCATTGATTGCTCTACCATCAAACCGTGCTTCCGATCCGTTTTTGGGTGGGACATTTAAATAGCCTGGGAGCACACATGGGCTTCTGTTTATCTAGGGAGGAATCCATCCGTGTTGGGGGTCCCCCTATTTCTGACCCGCACACACACAGACACACTCAAACGAGTGCCAAGCGGGTTGTTGCCTCTGCAATTACTCCTAGACACGCAAGTGAAGATGTTGTGTTTCTTGTTTATAGGTATCGTTCATTGTGCTCTCTTTTCAAGTTAATGCAGCTGCAGAACTTGACTTTAGACAGGGGAAATTGTATGCCTAATCATTCGTTCAGATAAGACACCCACACCCACACACACACACACCACTAGAATTGTATCCGTGACTTGCAGCAACATCTGCAATCCATGGAAAACCGAGCTAGCCCTTGGTGAACTTGCTTGGATCTGTTGTTCTCCACCATTTGCCCACCTGCAAAGTTAGATAAAGTTTCAAAAATGGACCCCCAAAAACGCGATTCCTCTGCACATCCTGGTTCATCCTGGTTGTTGGAGTGTATCGTTCATCTGCAGGCTACCGAACGCCCATCGAATCCACGGCTACCCTGACCCCACTTGGACTGAATCACTTGGATGAATGGGCTTGAAATCCCTGTGTAAGGGGACAGAGGTCACTAGGCTGCGATGGTTCCTCTTGCTTTTGAATGGTCAGGGCTTCGCCACCCCAGTGGTTGGGGTGTGGTTCAGCGCTGGTTTGATATGGCTCTAAACCAGTACATAAAGTTGGTCAAGCCAACGACTTGCCTGTCCTAGGCTCTCGTCGACCCCCAGCCCTTTTGTTGGGCCATAAACGGGGCTCCTGAATGGAGACATCCCAAAGCAAGATAAACCAGCTGGTATTTGGGTGGTCTTTTTGGTGACCCGCACGTAAACGGAACGAAAAATGGAGGTCAAGAAACTCTGTCAAGTCCAAACCGTTTCGCCAGAGTCCGCCAAGTCCCAAAGAAACAAACACAAAACGAATACAGGTGGTTTCCCTGTTGGCTTCCTTTAAACAACAATGGAACAACAGGGGCAGCCTCAAACACAGAAACACCCAAATAACTGCGATCCAGACATTAAACTGACAATCTGATCCCTTCCTTTCGCATGGTTTCACTGACCGGGGAGGCCCCGTCCAGTCCCTGTAGTATCCATGCCGATCGGCGCAGCTTTCTACCAGGACACCCAACAAATGAGCGGCGCCCTTAACCCAGGTGCGGCCGCAGAGATTTATCAAATCCCTTCCGCGAAGGCTTCCGCAAAGCTTGCGCGGCATGAAGGGTTTCTTCCGCAGAGGTGTGAAGAGGGAATCGCTTCCGCGTCGCTTCCGCGGATTGAGAAATATTATTGAAGTTCGTGTTCGCTTCCACGCGTGAAGGAAAACTACAATTTGTTGCTTTCGCAATTGAATCGTAGCCCTTCCGCGAAGCTTCCGCGAGTACATAAATGAGAAACCCTTCCGCGAACCTTGCGCGGCGCTTCCGCGACCTGGACCCAAGTACTACTGTCAATTGCAGGGGTTTTAGAACGTCGCTCAAATGTTGACTGGGCGAACCAAAGAATAGGTGGACCAACAAAAAAATCACAGGAGCCCCAGCCCCAAAACATTCTGTGGATGGATGAAAACCATTTCGCACCAAGTTGAAACCATGGTTGAAACAATTGCTTGTTGGTGTTTACAGGAAAATCGAGTAATTCCCTTGGGCTTGGTGCCGAAACAGATTTCGCAACCATCCACAGTAGGGCCAATAGGTGTACCCTGAGGCTCTACCGTGGTCATCTGCCTTCCACCTCTGAACGTTGAGCTCCGAGCCCAAGCACAGAAACCGCGTTGCGCGGTTGAGACTTGAGCCGACACTTCGTGGCGGAGTCTTCGGCCGAGAGTCTCCACCCCCTGAAAACTGGGTTGCCATGCGATTGACTGCATTTTTTGGGGTGAGCCCATTTGAAGAGGGGAATCAATTGTAAAGAGCCATTTTGAAAGGGTCGTAAAGACTGCAGGGTAAAAGATGGCGCTGATTTGGAGTTCAGCTGAAACCTGTGGCCCAGAGGCCTACCCCCAAAAGACCTGCAGCGTTAAACGGGTCTTGGGACCCGAGTGGAACTGACTCTATTTGTGGGTCTTGTGTCTGGCAAATGGCCATGCGTATCTGTTTTCCCATGTGTAGAAAACCTGTTAGTGGCCAAAAAGCATCTGAAATGACCAAGGGTCGATGGGCGATTTGAGCGATTCCTTGGAGGGCGGCAAAGGTTTTCCTACAGTGACTTAAGTTGGTCTTTTCATACCTCAACACCAATCTACTGGGCTGCCCTCAGATCCCCCCGCTAAAAGTGACTTGGGTTTGATGGAAATCCAACCACTAAACCAACTAAATGGCTAAAAAGCTAAGTAACCGGATGGCTGGGAGCCACCAAGTCTAATTCTGGCCCTTGCAGCCTAAAACAGCCTCACTCCAGTATAGTGACCATGCAAAAAGGGAACCCTTTCCGGAGCATCCCGGCTAGAATCGAAATCATGGGAGCTTGGACTTCCTCTTCACCTACGCATTTGTCTTTCCTGTCGCTTGCCTTTCCCAAGAGTGCGAACTCCAAACCAACTCGAAACAAACAAACAAAACTGTTCATTGGTGGTTTGGATGGCTGGTTTGGACTTGGATTTCAACCGCTGCTGGTAGAGAAATGAGTGTGGGTCAAAAATAGGTACCCAAGATAGAACCCAGGTAAATGGAAACATGGACTAGAACCTGCGGTTCCCTGGTGGTTTAATTTTGACCCATACCCGAATGAAGAACGACACCCGCGGCCGCCACGTCTCAAGTTGCTCCGAGACCCGCCTCTTCGGGTTCGCTGAAGATGCTCCGCCGCAGCCTCAAACAAATCCACCGGGGTCAAAGGAGAATCGAATCGGCGAGTCGGCGGATGCCAAGGAGCATGGGGCCAAGGATCAAAAAGGTCCACCTGGAGTCTCCATGACCCTTAAAAAAATGGGTCCATGACCCCTTTATTTTGGGTAATGACCCCATTTTTAAAGGGTCATGGAGAGATCAGGCAGCGATAATGTTAAATCCGGATTAAGCAGAACCCCTGGTTGATTAATAGGGGGGTGTCCTCTTTTAGTGGGGATTCAGACCACTGTTGGAGGGAACACGGGGATTCATCACTGGAGGGAACACCCCAATAATGGGATGGGTGTATTAATCCTGGGTCAACATTACGTGGGATGAGCAGTGCTTGGGAAACCTCCCAAGTTCTCCATACCTCGATTGCGTTTTGATTGATCGTGTTCCCTCAAGCTGCCACAGCTCCCACAGCGGATTTTGGCCATGAGGAAGCGTGAAGTGCCCTTCCCTAAAAGAAGACACCCGGGTCTAAAAATGTTGGTTGCTTCGGTAGTCCAGCAAAAAAACACATGCAGGATTGTATGTGAATCTGGTTTGAGTCAAGTGCCTTGGTTTCTAGGCTCTGACTTTCGGCCTCCAAGCGCAACTCCTCAAGCAAGCTCAACTCAGCCGTAGCACGATGGAAACGGCTACTGCAACTACAAAACCAACCAAAGGTTTTGAACCCCAAGGTCTCAATTAGACCAGCAAAGAGCGCAGCAACAAGGCAAAATCGTCAAGGGTTCTTATACCAAAATGAAAGACTAGCCTCCAAATGTCTTGGTTGCTGTAGGGGAGGGGGAGGAGGAGGTGAAAAGCCGGGGCCCTCACAGCATGATGGAGTTCTGCGCGCGCTCGCTGCTGTAACTCCTGGCTCTGAGAGATGGGCGGAGACTCAGTTTCTGTGATTCACCGGGTAGGAGGAACTCCGGAAACATGGCAGCTGAACCCGGGTATGGAGACATGGCAGCTGGTCCTATATGACTACCTTGGAAGATAGCCAAACTGATGGTGGTGATCAACGGGTGAAAAGAGATGGCAGTTGATGAGCAGCATGAATTTGGGTGGCTTCCAAGGTAGTCATAAAAGGACAAGTTGGCAGTTGGTCACCATGAAGTTTCGGATTTGGGCAGAGTCGCTCGTTTTACCCAGTAAGATCAGTCGGCCATCGCGGTCTTTATCCCAATGTTGACCCCGGAGTAATAAACCCGTCCTACTAATAGCGGGGGTGTTGGCTACACCCCCCTATTAGTCAATCAAAGGTTTGTGAATCTGGGGTCAACATTGTTGAGAAACGCCTCACTTCAAATAATTAGCTTGCCATCAGCTATGTTTGCCACTTGAGATCGAACCTCCCCCCATCAGGGAAATATACACAGAAATCACGGCTTGGAACGAGCGCCCCGATCAAGCCTGGAAGGGGTGAGCTTTCTGGACGTTGCGTGACCCGGTGATCATTCCATCTCGTTTGGCTTTAAAAACTCAAAGGACGTGGAGCCTTTTGGAAGCCTGCGAACATCCGTCAACTCCACCCCCTCACCACTCCAACAAAGCCAACAACAAAAAGCCAAAGACGTCCCAGCACCCCACCCCCCCATTGCTTGTTCAAAATCCAAAAATCCCCTTGGTACTGTCCAGCAAGTGGTTGTGATGTGGGTGCTGGTCGGTTCAAGCAATTCATCCTCAGAATCCTTCAAATTGGTTGGTTGTCCCACTGGACTCCACCTCAAGCTGTAACCCAGAAACACCCGCACCTAGCCGGATGGCCGGGCTTTAGTCAAGGGATTCACCACCAAAACCACAGCTTCGCTGTGGAACCCTTTGTTGACCTGGCCAAAATCGAATTCCCAAATCCAAACTAAGAGAAATCGACTCGTTCAAAAAAAAGAAAGACTAAACAAATGGGCGAGCTCGCAGAGAGGTTGCCACAAACTGCCCAGAAGAAGTCATGCAAACTTGGGATTGATCGAGCAAACGCGGAACTCTGGAAAACCATTCTCCTTTAAAAGGGGACCCCCCGCTATGAAGGTTCCATGTGGACCAGATATGAAGTGTGGATGATCCTATCTTGGCTGGAATTAGGACCCCAGCCAAAGAATAGGTTTTTGCCTGGTTAGTGGAAAACAAAAGGGAACCCCAAAAAAGCAAAAAACAAAAACAAAAAACGGGGAGCTACTTCTGGGGAAGCTATGTGGTTGGTCAGAAATCCCCATTGTAAAACTACGTCTCCGTGGGGCTTTTTGCATGACTTGAAAGACATGGACCTGGCTTCCTCTCGCCTGGAATTCACCATGTGGATAATTAAAACAAAAAATCCATTTCGCATGACTTGGACACCATCTCAGTTGTTCAGTGACCCTGGAAAAAAGAGGGAACCCTTTTTTGGGCTTGGACCATTTTAGTGGGGCAGCCACCAAAAAAAAGGGGGAAAAGGGTGCCACTGAACAACGGAGCCATGAAGACCCTGCCAACCACCTTGGAGACCAAAGAATCTGAGCAACACTGGAGATATGGATGGACGAAGTCCACTTCGCACCACTTTGAATGTTAACACCATGGTTGAAACCATAACGCTTATTGGTATTTACAGGGGAATCGAATCATTTTAGGGGTTTCTTAGGTGGTGTTTAAGAGGATTTCGTCCACCCACAGTATAAGGTCCCTTACAAAGGAGGCGCACTGTTATTTTTTTTCCAGGGCAGTCAGCTTCCTTCAAGTTGCCTGAAAGGTAGGGTAGATCTCAACCAATTGGCTATGGGAGGGTATTTGGCGGGTCTCAAAGAGGTAGCCCAAATGGAACCCTAAGCGGAAGCATGGACTACATCCTGCGGTCCAATTCCTGGTGGTTTCATTTTGACCCATACGCATTTTGAGCCATAGCTTCCTTCTGAAAGTAGGTAGGGTACCTCTCCATTTGGTCATGGGAGAGTGTTTGAGGATGTTCCCCCAGCTTTCGACACACGACCCCCTTGCTCCTCGGCACCACCAGGTGGAAGTCCTGGTATTCCTCTCGCCTGAAGCCGGGCACCCGGAACTCGGGGAGAAAGAAAAAACAACACACACACACACACACACACATGGCGCTTGTTTCAGCCGTTGAGAAGCACCATAATTATCACAAAGCCGGGGGACAAAAAAACACGGCGCTTGTCAGCCATTGAGAAACAACACTAATTAACACAGAACCAAAAAAGGCCGAGACGACACAACTATCAAAGACCCGCCACGAAAAAAAGGAACCCTTAAACCTAAAAGTTACCCACAAGTGCGGAACAAAACAACCGAACAATAAAATCATCTACAACAAAATGCGCTCAGCGCCACTACATACGGCTAAAGTACCACTATAGCCAAAAATGCTTACGTAAGCACCCCAAAAGGGAAAAGCCGATGTAGCAGTTGATTCAGAGGTGCAGGGCGCTTCCAACTACTCAACCCAAGGTTCACAACCCCCCCCCTTCTACCAGTAAACTCAACTGGGTGTCCACCCAAATCACCAAAAGTAGGCAGATTCCAACCACTCAACCCACGTTGACCCCCTGCCTTTACCGTTTTAAAACCTGAGCCGTGCTCCCCAAGGCGCAGAAGCGTCAGGAGCTCGCTGCCCGCCTCGAGATGCGAAAACGGGCTACGAAAATGGGGGCCCTCTCAAAGGATTTCATCCCCAGGTTCATGGTAGACTTGTGAATTGATCCCCCTTTTTCCATGGGGTTTGGAAACTATGTTCAAAATGGGTCTGCGAGGAGTCAAATGGGGCGGGGTTCTTGGAGTTGATCCCCTTCTTGGGCAAAGGAGTGAAACAGGGAGGCTTCTCCAAACAGGAATCTCCCGAGCTCTCTCAGAGGAATTGATCCCCGGTTTCATGGGTTTGGCATCGCCTCCTTTGTCATGAGCTCTCATGTTCATGGGTTTGGGCAAAGGAGCCAGATGGCAAACTTATCCAGGAATCCGCCCCTTGTCCAAGGGACAAGCCCCGTTAAAAACCCTCTGAAAGGGGTTCATCAGTCTCAGAAACCAACAAAGATAACATATTTAGCTGACCACACAGTGTTGGATTCCCCAAGGTCGCATAAAACAGGTCTTGAAACAGCGTGTCAAGGGGATTCGGGATAGGGTGTGCAAACAAAAGCAGAAAAAAAAACCATCATGTACATATCTATCATATCTATAAAGTATGGATAGATTATTCTGGAGGTTGATTCCTTCTCCATGCGTTTCAACAATAGCATTCGAAAACCTGCGATTGTCCCCTTGGCCTGTGGTTGCCTGGCAAGAACAATGCCTGGCCAAAATGGGGAAGTTGCCCAATGTTGCCCAGGAGCATCTTGGAGCGGATTAATAGGGATTAAGGGGATTAACCCAGGTGGTCAAGGTTGTCAAGGGCGTTCCCTATATGCGTTGCTTCCCAAATCTCCCTCCGCCAAGCATGATTTGCTACATGGAAGCCTTGTGGAAGGCTGATGGCTCTTTTTAGGTATCGCCAGAGTGGTGCAAAGGGGAAGCAAGGAGAAGCCCTGTTTGTGCGTGTGTTTGTCTGTGCGGGAACCTAGACGCACCCAGTCCTCCAACAGTGAACATATGAAGCCTGCCCAAAATGAACTTCCGGAGACAAGGCAGCTCATGGGAGAAAACAGGCGTTGCCTCTCTTGGCTCATGTCAAAAGGCACCCTGGCGGAAAAGAGTTGATGGTCTGATGCGTGGGCACAATAGCCGAGCACTTACCTTGGCTGCCCTCAGATCCCGCGCTAAAAGTTTAACTTTTAGCAGGCTAAATGGAAATCCCAACTAAACACGAAAAAGCTATAAAGCTAAGGAACCGGATGCTGGGAACCACTGAGGTACCAAGACATAGGCCAAGTTGGGCCCCACAAAGGAGGGGCTATCCCGGCCCCTCAGCCGTCGATGACTCCGATCCCGCTCCTCTTGCAGGAAGAGCACGTCGGCATCCTGAGCCGGATGCATCTCTAATCTGGTCTGTGTCCTACCCTCACACGCTCAACAAACCGGATTCCCGTAAAGACGACTCTTTCTGCAACACTTCTGAGTGACAACGTGCCAAATGCCGCTTTCTGCCACTCAGAGTGGGAACCCGTGTGAACTAGTGTTCTCTTGACAGAACACGGGAGCAGATGCCTCCATGTATCGCATCAATCCTTCAGCCTGCCTTGTAGGTCTGCCGCAGGATGCTGTTGATAAGCGCATTCTTTCTGCCTAGGCACACACTCGCACAGCTAAATCGAAGACCCTGCAAGTCCAAACAGACAAACACACACACAGACAGAGACAGAGACAGAGACAGAGACACACAGAAAGACACACAGACACCGCACACACACACACAAACAAACACAACAAAAGAAGAAAACAACAACACAAACAACAAACGAGACCGCAGGGTCCTGTGGTTTTCACGTAGCTTGTCTACTTCGTCTTGCCTTTCCAAGCTGCTGTTGAGGGACTCGCAGATCTCACGGCGGAGAGTTTCCCATCCGCTCGCCTTGTTGAGCATCAGACCTGGGCTGCGTGCGCCATGGGTTTGTTTGCGTTGGATTTCTCCTTTACCCTGGGGTTCCTTGCCCCCATTAAAAGAAAGGCAAGGACCCAATTTGGATGACAATCCTTAGGAAAACAATGGTGGTTATATGACCCCCCCCCCATTGTTGTAATGGTGTTTAGGTGCTCTTCATGGGAGCTTCTCAAGAGAAACCCCTGGGTTTTGATTGCCCCAAGCAGGCCACAAACGAACGCCTTGGCACTAAAAACTAGATGAGCCAAGTACAGGATGAGTCAATCCAAAACTGAGAATCTGTCAGTCGCGTTCGCGATAGCCGTGGCAAAACGCGATAGGCCCCGTGACAACTCCCGAAAGACCACCCTACCAGGTGCGGCACATTTCGGTTGAGCAGGGTTCAGGGGGCGGTGGATGTCCTAAATATTGCAAGCAAACCACCCACAAACCATGATAGTTGAATTTGCAGCTTGTTCCCTGCTTGCAATATTTCGGGGGCATCCACCGGGTTTTTGGTAATGTCAACCCCGGATGAATACACCCCTGCTTGATTACAGGGGGGTGTCCCCTTTTAGTGGCGATTCAGACCACTGTTGGAGGGAACACACCCCCAAATAATGGGACGGGTTGATTAATCCTGGGTCAACAAAAGACCACAGACCTCCGCCATTGGCCTTGGGCGGCTTTCTTGGCAACCCTCGCAAGGTTTTCTGGAGGAAATGAGCCACGATCGAAACCCGCTGTAAATATGGTGAACCCAGAACCATGCTTCAAGAATTGAGGCGGATCTCCGCAGCTATTTAGGGCGATTGGCGATTGGCCCTTACTAGCCTTTCCCTGCCCGGGTTTTGAGCACGTGGCTCAAATGACTTGCTGTTGCGAGAGATGCAAGGGACTGAGAAATGGAATGACCCTAACCATTCAACGGGTGGTTTCCTGTAAGGGAATCCTTGGGTTCATTCCCACATCCCCTACTGAGCACCAGCAAGATGACCCTTTCTGTTATGATTGTGGGTGGTTGCGAAATCCGCTTCACATCACCGTTCAGAAACCCTGGTTTCTTATTCGATTCCCCGGCAAATACCAACCAATAAGAAGATGGCAACTATGGTTTCAAAGTGACAGCTGTTTTTCATCCACTGCGTCACTCCCATGCTTCCTTTATCACTTTGAAGGAGATCCAGAGGGCTCACAGCAAGTTCCCATAGAACCAGACATGTTCCACTTCACTCCAAGAAGCTCGACCCAAAACAAAAAAAGGAAGTCCTCAGATGCCCAGTGGATTTCCATGGGAGAAAACAAGGATCGGCATCCTTTTTTGGTTGGTTGACTTTAAAGGAACCGGAACCCTTCCCCAAACAAGTTGAAAGAAGGGCACACTACTTTCAAGGGGAACCCTTCCCCCAAAAAAGTGGAACAAAGGAAGCAACCCACTGGAGAAACCGTTCCACCGTGATGATTTGTTGGGGACCCCGCGCACGAGGATGGCATCGAAAACGCCCTGCATCACCAGCTGCAGCGGGATGCTGGCCACTTCTTCCTCCTCGCCTTCGCGGGAGATTTTCTTTCCAAGCCAACGCCTGGAACCCACCCAGCCCAAGAGCCCAAGAGCCTAAACTTGGTACCTGGAGTCTCCACCCTTAATACTCACCTGCTGAGTGGATGGCCCAAAAAATGTCCAAACTTTATATTTGCCGCTAAAATGGTCTTCCCAAAAAGTTTAAAGTTCATGAAGTCAGGAAGTGAGTTGGTCACAAACCAAAATCCCCTCGCGGAAATTCCCCGCTCGCTCCTGGAACCCACAAAGCCTGGCAGAGGCTTTAGCCGGCTTTAAAAAAACAAAAACTGGTAGCTGGAGTCTCCACCCTTAAAACATGGTTGGTGACCCAACATTCAGGGGTGTCATGGACCCATTTTTTAAGGGTCATGGACCAATGGAGTCATGGAGACTCTCAGAGGCTTGAGCTGGGAGAAAGGTCTCTGTCCATGCTAGGACCCTACCAACCAACCCCTGAAAAGCTCGCCCCTGAATGGGTTAATAAGCCTTATCAGCGGTACCTAAGGCAGTAAGGAGCCTTATTACAAGCAAGGCGAACTAAAGCCACAAGCCTTAACAGTTGGCCTTCCTGAAAACAAGCTGATGTTGAACAGCTTAGGTCATGGAAGTGGTTCCCCAAATAGGGCTTCCATGAATCCATTAAAAGGGTCGGGGGCGAAAGGAGGAAAAGAAGCCCAACCCCTCAACATCAAACCCAAGAGTGGCGGAGTTGGAGGGTCTGGGCCGAGGGGCTGATGGCGGGATACTTGGCCTTGCGGATTTTCTGCAGGAGGCTGTAGACTTTCCTGATTGGCGCGCAAAACGCCGACCAAACGGCTCCATCAACCTTCGTTTGTTTCTTCAACGGGTTCCAGTAAACGGGGCTCCGATGGCGTGCGCCAAAGGAGAACCATATGGCCGGGTCAAAACCCCGTACCCCCAGTGAACATCCCAATCCTCACTGAAACAGACTAAAATGCGTGGTCTATCCGAAAATGGTACCATTGGTTTTGACCCACGGCCATGTGTGTAGTATCCAATCGAACACAGTTGTCAGAAGCCCCATTTAGGGGGAATGTCCGTGCTGCTAACTTGTCCGTGCAGCCCAAACAAAAAATTGAGCGCACCCCTTGCGCAAGCTCGATTGAACCCAAAGAGGATGCTCTCTGAGTCGACAAATATGTTCCAAAGTGTTGTAGGTCGCTGCTTTCAAGTCTGCTCATTTGGTTTTATGTTGATGTTTCATGTTTGGTTGCGCGTGCTGGATTGCCTGCCTGCCTGCCTGCCTGCCTGCCTGCCTGCCTGCCTGCCTGCCTGCCTGCCTGCCTGCCTGCCTGCCTGCCTGCCTGCCTGCCTGCCTGCTGTTGGTTCCCTTTCCCAGAAATCGACCCCTGAAAAGAGTGTTGTCTTGCTGAAAAAGGTCACCAGCACCATGCCCACTTTCCATGTCCAAAATTTCCTTGGTACTGGGATTGGGGGGTGCTCTTCAGTCCAAGTAGGGTCGATGGAATCAGTCGATCGGAGCGGTTCGGTTGCTGAAAAGCCGAGGGTCTTTGAGCCCGAGCCGTCCAACTGCACGTCCGTGTCGAAGAAGAAGCTGAGCCACTTGCTGAACCACACCTCGATCCGCTTCCCAGCGCGGTGCTTTGGAGGACAAGGGGTGCTTCCCATTTGTAGAGGACCATCCCCGCCCAACTAAGGCATCTACCTGGAAACCCATATGTGACGAAGTTTGTTCTGTCCATACGACTAGGGCCACAATGAATGGCCATGCGGTCATTTACGGGTGGTGTGTCAACATTTTGTCGAACAAGTACATGCTGCATAAGGCCAAATACGGCCAAAGGCAGAAAGAAAGGACCATACGCAAAACGGATCCGAATACGGAACCGTTTCGTCCAAAACTACTGGCCATGAGGCTTTACGCGTCAACAAAATAGAAATCAAGGAAATACTTTGATCGCCGGCATTGTGCATTTTCACGTTGGGGTTCCCCTATGTTTGATCTGTCTGGGAAGCCGCTTGAGTTAACTCACCGCAAAAAATGGCACGCACATGTTTCTCCCTGGAAACTCAGCAAAAAACAACAACAACTGCCAAGCCCCGGTGGTTGATATCCGTGTGACACTCCGACAATTCCCGGACTTCCAGACAGACAAACCTGCCCAGCTTGAAAGGGGAGAAAAGGAAAAGATGAGCAGACATGACATGGGTGTCATTCCGTAATGTTAACCCCGGAATAATACACCGCTGGTTGACTAATAGGGCGGTGTCCCCTTTTAGTGGGGACTCAGACCACTTTTTGCGGGAACACCCCCCTAATAATGGGACGGGTTTATTAATCCGGGGTGAACATTAGAGCGGGTCCTTCACGTGTGTTGGGAAGAGTGTGTCCTTTGTAACTGGGATGTGCAATAAACCAATAAAATGCAAAGACGTTTATAACCACCTTCGCTGTCACCGTCAAAGTTTTGCAAGGACTCACCGGCAGACCAAGATATGCATAACTGCGAGACGAAGCATATGTGTATGTATATATATATATACATATATCACTTTTCCTCTTCTGGTCATGCGGTCAACTTCGGATTCATCCACAACCAATTGCTGGGGAATCTCCCTGAAAATAGATCCATCACTTCCAACCACAGAGCCGCATTTCTTGGTGAGTGTTTTCTCCAAAAGTGCAGGTGGGCCTCTTCTTTCGGGGCACCGCCTATTGATCAAGGGGCGAGTCAACAGTCTGGACTCAGCTCTCTGGCAAACAAAATACCTCTTGGGAAATTTGTAGACATGCCCCCCCTACCTTGATTTGGCTGTGGATCAAAAAAGGGCACACAAAATGGAACCCTGGTAAATGGAACCAAGGACTAAAACCTGTGGTCCTCTGGTGGTGTAATTTTGACCCATACCCATTTGGGAAAATGGGACCGCACACGGAGCTGCAGGGGTCACCCCTTGCCCAATGTTTGAGGACAGTCACGCAGTTTTCTTTGATGCCCCCAAGCATGCGTGGGTCGCTGACGCCCTGCTGAAAGTGACCCACTGGTTCCCGCAAGGTAGCTTGAAGTACTGCTGCTACCCGAACCGTTCCATCGACCTGTATAGTAAAAGCAATACTTGACCCCTCAAGCAACTTGAAGGAAAATTGGTATAGAGGCAATTGAGCCCTCAAACAGCTTGACGGACAATTGCTGCCTACCCACTGGGATCCTCCAGGAAAGGTGCCTAGGTCCTCCAGTAGAGAGGTTAGAATAAGGGTACCCTTTTTTCTGTAGTCTATTTTAGCAGAGGAACCCTCCCCAAGAAAAGAAACGGTAAAAGGGCACTGCTGGGGGGACCTAGGTCTTGAAGGCTACTTCACCCATCGAAGATTCAGGTTCCACGGGTCTAAACTCCCAGCTGCTGAGGTTGCTCTTTTATCTGCCCAGACTGTGTCCAACCTCCTGACTGTTCAACAAACCCCTTTCTATTCAATATGGGGGGTGTCCATTTCTGGTTTCAGTGGTTGGAATCAGGCCACTTTTGGACTGGTTTTCACCAACCCCCCGATTAATAAACTGGTTGGTGAATTAATACAGCGTCAACATTAACTTGACACGGGTTTCCCGCACGCGCCTCTAGCGTGCCCAGGTCGCCCGCGTAGCAGTTGATCACTGAGGGCCTCAAGCCGAGGAACATGAGTGCCTCATGCTCCCAAGTTGACCGCACAGTGGATGGACGAAATCCTGCATGTTGAAACAGGGCTCCCTATATTTCCCCTTAAAACATCACCCCCACCAAGGGACACTCACCTTTCATGGGCCAAAAAGGTGATGTCTAAATCCACCAAAAGGGGAAATATAGGGACCCCTGTGAAACCATGCTTGAAACCAGTGTTTAAACTGGTACTTCATTCGGCTTCTTAGATGCAGGATTTTCGTCCATTCGCAGTAGGTTGCCGGAAATGCTCGCGAAACCTAAAAAAAACTGCCTCCGAATTGGGGAACCCAAAAATGGGGTCAACCTCACCCTGCATTCTCTTCGAACGACCTCAAACAAGGGCCCGGAAAAAACCTCCCACCGACCCGTTAACCTTCCCAGCCCTCAGTATATCAGCAAAACACTGACGGTCCTGAGCTCGGCAAAAAGAAAAGAACCAAAACAAGAACAGTGAAGTAACAGATTCAACACCTAGAAATAGACCAAAAGCAATGACGAGAAAGCGGACCAAAAGCGAAAGAAAGCAAGCACTGCACATTTCTGCAAACTGACACGAAACCCAAAACAATCCTGGTGATTCCTATAGGCTATAGGCTTCTCTCTCCTTTTGGTTGACAACAAAATGACACTCAAAATTGACCCTCAACATGTTCCCTCTGAATGGTGGTTTAAAGGGGTTCACCCCCCAAAACAACCCAAGGTCAGCTTCCCTCCAATTGGTGGTTTGGAAGTTTGGGGGTGGCTTCCTATTTACCCTCTACAAGAACCAGGGGTTCAAATCCAAAACCACTAGGCTCCAAACCACCCATTAAAATACTTGAGGTGAGTCAAAGTTGTTGTTTGAAGTCGCCTGTAAACGCGGCCGTCCACCAGCTGGATGGTGTTGGTTACGCGGTCCGGCATGCTGGCCAGTCCTTGGCAAGCGACGCGAATGGCGCCTGAAAAGACACAAAGGGCTTCCAGTTGCCACTGTAAGGGCCTGGAACAAAAATCACCTGAATTTGCTTAAGCTCTCTGAACAAAAACTAGAACATCTGTCCAATGGTGCTATTTACAGACAAACGGAGGCCTATAAAACATATTATTGAGCACATGGAAGAATGAGCGTGGGGATTGGTAGTTTAAAACCATGTTTTTGTCATGCTCATTGGATACTAAGCTGTGCAGTTCTTTAGCCCCTTATGTTCCTACGTCAGAAAATTGAAGCTGCTGACTACTCCATAGGCCAAGGGCCATTCGGTCTTCAGGGTTTTCTACCAAGTCTTTACATGATGGGTTCACCTGGACACAACATGGAAGTCCCTTTTCTGTGATGCCAAACTTGGATGCCCACCCCAACTTTGCGGGACTTCCCTGCTCAGAAGCCGATCAGCGTTTCTGCAGTTTGGCCAAAAACAAATGGAGCGTTGCAGATTCAAAGACAAGCCAGGACTTGATAGGGGGATTCCCTCAGTATCACAGAAGGTGGCAGTCCAAAACATCATGTTCTACATGTGCAAGGCTCCAAATGCACGACCCCAAATTCATAATGTTGATCCCGTGTTAATTGACAGTGTATTAACATGGGGGTGTTCAACCGTTCCCCCCAACCCAGGTTGACACCCCTCGGCAAATAAACTGGACTTGAAAAAGATGGGATCAGCACTACTCCGTGTGGCTCATGTTGCTCATCATGGCGATCTGTGGCTTTATGAACTCCTAGGTGGCTATGAGTCAAAAGCCCAACATCCAATTCAATCCAAGCACTAAAATAGGTAACCTAAAATGGGTGGTGCACCGTGCACCTACACAAACTGGGATCCCCAAACGGTTTTGACCCGCCAGACGAGTCATCCCCGATCCTTCCCCGAGGGTGGACTTCACCTCCCGTAACACGCGCGTGGCCCACGTGGGAGAGAAAAAAAAAAAAAAACATGCACATGTATCCCAGTGATTCCATGTCCTAACCAAGGATTCCGCCCCAAGACAGGACAATTGCGGGTTACCCATTTTAGTGGCGGGATCCACGGGCAAATACTCAAAACCAGTGAAAGCATCGCCTTAGCTTGGGGCAAACAGGAGTGCTGGCAAATTGCAGCTCGGAGCTGCGGTGGGTCCGGGGGCTGGATTCCCTAAGGCTCCCGAAGGAGCCTTAAGGAGCCTTATGGAACCCTAGGAGACCTTAAGGAACCCTGGGGCTCTTAGCTACCGCTTCGCCACTTTGTGCCTTTGTGCCTACCTCGGATGGGATTCCACAATTGAAGGGCCCCACATGGGTGTTCGGCCAAGTTAGTAGATACCTCGTAAGCAGGGTTATAACCCACTTATAAGCGCTTATAAGTCCCCCGTGAAAGTGGGCTTAACCTTGTTGTTTGGGGTGAAACACCTCTGGTGGCTCACCACTTCCTAAACTTGGCTGGCCGAACATCCGAGTAGGGTTCTGCGGTGAACCTATGGTTGGACTTAGGACGCTAGCGGCGAGCTCGCAATAACATGTGCGCAGGTAAGTGTCTGAGTAGTCGAAGAGCTGCAAGTGAAACAGCATGCGGGTTCCATTCCACTTTTGGAGGGACCCAAACCCAAGAACGGCCTGATTCAAAAAAAAGCAATGGGCCTCATGGATTGACGCCGGCGAGGCGTAAGAAGCTTTTGGCGGACGTGGCCGTGGGACAACCCGCCGCCCTGCGGTGCCATTTCGAGGCCGGCGGGCGCTTCTTCCCGATCACCGCATCCCGCAAGAAGCCGGAGACCACACGCCGGGTGCCTGGCCGCGGGGCGGAAGGAACTCCAGCCCGGTTGGATCCAGGACTTGCTGGTGCGAGAAGTCAGGAAAGTGGGAAACCCAGAAAAACGCAAACAAAAGGAAACCACCAGTTGGATGGTTTACAAGTGTCATTCCCCCATTTCCTGCTGACAGGTCTTTTGGGGTCATTTGCGCCTCACATGTATGTCCAAGGTCTTGGGGATCCTAGAGTTCAGATATCCCCTTAAACACCACCAATAAAAAAGCGCAGCAATTGGTCCAGCGGTAAAACCAACGGTTGCAAGCCAAAGAAAGACCATGTTACCTTTTTTTGGATTCTCCATTTAGAGGCGACTTGTGGCGCAAATTTCGGGGCAGGGGCAGTCTTCACAACAATGATTCCCAGCCAGTGGATTGCAGCCACTATAAAACGATTCAGGGGCCAGAACCTTCTGATAGCTCCCCTTGCTGTGACTCTTAACCACAGGAAGTTCCACAGGAGTTTTTGGTTTAACCCACGAAACATCTACCCCCACCAGTTTGGAAACATAAAAGAATAATTCGAGTCAGAAAAAGTCAGCGGCAAGCAAGATGCTAAGATAGGCCTCTCAATACCGGGGTTGATTGTTTTTGGACGCAGTCGAAGGGAAATCAAAGTGGAAAAAGCCTGTTGGCTGGTCCTCATTTCGTTATCGTTGTTACTATTGTTTATTTTCGGTGTTTTTGTTTTCCTGTCGCGGTTAAGCCCTCGTCTAGTTCCGACAAATACGCGCATAAGGGGAACCCGGGATAACCCTGGTTCATATGGGTGCGGGGGGCGTGCCATTTGGGCATGGGTCAAAATCCTCCAGTGAACATCCCAATCCCCACTAAAATAGGTCTAAAATGGGTGGTGCACCTACCCCAAAATGGGATCCGAAAACGGTTTTGACAACCACAGCCATTTCTGAGGGAATGTTTTAGGAAACACCCCCTTGATGGGGAAAGATCGGCTCCGTCTCGATGACTCACCTACCGACTGGCCAGGATTTTGCCAGCTTCAGTTCGGGATGCACAGCCTGGGTGCTAACCCAGAGGGTCCAAGTACCTTTTAAGGAGGTACTGAACGACCCCTTTTTACCCCCCAACAGCCATCCTCAGCATCCTCAGGAGGTACTTGGACTTGAACTTGGACCCTCTGGGTAACAGGGGTCTATTTGTTTGGCATTCACTGGGAAGATCGAACCTTTTGAACCCTCGGTATGGTAGCAAAAGAAGCTTTGCTTTGTCTTGCAGCCCCCGACGCAAAATGAACAGAACCAAAAGGTCTAAGAACACGCCAACAACAGTGAAGCACAGTTGTGTGCTATTTTGTTGGAAAAAAACGGAGGGGAATCGACTTCAAAAAGGAGTTGTTCATTTTTGTTTGGCTTCCTCTATGAACACCGCACATGGGTAAATGACAATGACTCTTGAGCCCCCCTATCAACTCACAGCCAAATGGCTATGGGTCCAAAGCCCGTACCCCCAATGAACATCCCAATCCCCACTAAAAGAGACTAAAATGGGTGGACACCTACCCCAAAATGGTACCATGGGTGTTGACCCACGGCCAAATATCTGCGATTCGCAACCCAAACTAGAGGAACAGATCCCATTCGACCCATCCCATGAGCTGGCTTCACAAAATTTCGAACTTCGGCCGGCGCCGCGATAGGATGCCCAAAGCTTTTCCACGAGGTCCACCTGCGGTTTTGATCGCACCTCGACTTTCCAATCCTTGGTACTGTGGATGGACGAGCTTCTGCACCACCTAAGAAACCCTGGAATGATGAGTTTCCTGCAAATACCAGAAACAATGCTTTGCCATGATTTCAACGTGGCGACATGAAATTCATCCATCCACAGTATGGTAGCAACAAGCTTTGCCTTTTTGAGAACCAAACAGACATGAACAGAACCCAAAAACCTAAAAGCCAAACAGAACCCCCCCGAAATGAACAGAACCCAAAACCCAAAAATGATCCCAAAATGAACAGAAACCCAAAACAACGAAAAAGCCAAACCACGCCAACGGTGAAGATGAGTCCTTCTTCCCATGTAAACCCAAAAGTTCCCCAAAATGGCGAAATTATCCAAGCCCAAGGCCCTGGTTTTGGTGAGGAGAAGGTCCTCCAGAGTTTCCTCTCTGATGTTGGTCCGAAATTCTTCGGGTCTCGGTTTTTCGAGCGTACCAACATGTTTGCTCGGTTTGAAAGGGGAAAAACGAAGTCGACGAGAAGAAGAACACCCTTTGAGACAAGCCCAACCATTTGGGACTTTCGAGCAAGGCCAGTTGAGTCAGGCTGTAAGTCCTGGCATTATCAAACTACGAAGAAGCTGCATAATCAGAACCTTTTGGAGGAGACACAGATCTACCTGATCCACCTTAAGTGAACCAAAAACAAAAAACAAAAACGCGTGACACGGTCAAGTCCAAACGGCTTGCAATTGCCTTCCCAGTTGCGATTCGCCAAGTGTGTAACTTGTTGGGAAGCAGGGTTCTAACCCAGGTATAAGTCCCCAAAGTGGGCTTAACTAGGTCCTCCAGTACAGAGGTTAGAATAAGGGTACCAACTTCTTTCTGTAGTCTATTTTCGTAGGGAAACCCTCCCCCCAAAAAATGTAAAAGCGCGCTACTGGGGGACCTAGCCCTTGACCCTTTTTGCCCACAGCCCCAGAAGCCAAGCGCCAAGCCTGCAAGCCGACACCCTGCATCCGCTCCTTTAATCTGCCGAACATGGTGTCCTCGGCTCCGGCGGACGATTCGGGTTCCCGTTCCCATGGACAACTCAAGGGAACTCACTTCGTGGCCACGAAATGGGCTAACCCCGGGTGCAAGCAGATTTGTCGCGCCTGTCAAGGGAAACCACCCTCTACTCCAAGAACCTTTAAAAAATAAGGATGCAAACGAACAACCTGGTTTTAAGCCTGTTGCTTACCGAAAACAGGGTTTTCCAACCGAAAACCCGGTTTTACTTTTAAAAAACCATACAAAAGCCATACAAAACCCGTACAAAACCCATACAAAACCGTACGTGTGTATGCTTTTCATAAAACCGGGTTTTCCCGCAAAGAACCCGGTTATTTTCGAGAACCTTTAAAATAAAAGGTTCTTGGAGTAGAGGGCACTCCCTCAGACCTTGAAACACCTGCCAATCAGATATTCTGATATTCCCTTTTGACTGGCCAATGTACTAGGTGCATATGAAGTATGTACTGCACGTGTAAGGAAATGTCACTGTCACGGAAAATCACTTCGTGGCTGGCGCAAGGGACTTGTTTTGAGCATTGCACGCTTCACTGAAATGGTCTTCCAAAAAGGGCTATGATAAGAGAGACACACGCCCAACTCCCCAGAGCGAACTTTCTGACACGCAACTTGATGGCAGCAATTATCTTCATTTAGAGAGGTTTCCTGTTCGAGCCCAAGCAGGCTGCAAATCTACAGCAAATTGCTGCAACTGAGTGCGGGTTGTCGACCAATGGCCCCAAGGAGATATCTGGGTAGACTTCAATCTCACATGCCGCTCAGCCTGCAATGGTGCCACTTGCCGTATGTGTCCCTTTACATGGGATGACTATTGGGGAAAACCACTAAAATGATGAAATGAAATTGTTTCGATTCAATGAGAAAAGTTACCCATGGTCATTTGGGGGCCAGGAGTATTGATCAACCCCCATGTCTCAAAATTGCGGAATTTCAGGTTGCTTCCTTTTCTGTCTGAAACTAAGGCTTTCGCGAGGCCCGTCCGGCCTGAAAACATCCTCCAGGAAGCTCGCAGACATGTTTTTGTCGGGAAGAGATCCCCGGAAAATAATTCCTGTGGGCAACCAAGGGGCGGTTCCCGCCCTAAAACTAGAGGATAAGTGCTGGTTGCCCATGTCCGAAAATGGGATCCACTGGGGATGCTTTTCAGTCTCAGAGTTCTCACTCGAATCCGTAGATTCGTTGACTCGTGCCCAAGGCGTCACCTGGAGATTGATCTGCAAATCACTTACCGAAGAAAGAAAACCAGTTTGTGGGACTCAAACACAAACGGTTCACTTATCACTTAACCGAACCCATGTTCAAAGTCACAAGCGTCCCAAAGTGGAAAAGCATCCCGCGATCGGTTCCTTAAGTGCTTTCTCATCTCCTTGCGTGCTTGGGTGCTGATACATGAGCCGCGGAAAATGTTTACCTAGGTCCTCCAGTAGAGAGGTTGGAATAAAGGGTACCAACTTTTTTCTGTAGTCTATTTTCGTAGGGGAACCGAATCTCCCCCAAAAAAGAAACGGTAAAAGGGCACTACTGGGGGACCTAGTTACTTGTTCCAGAGGGGACATGAACCACGGGCTCGTCCACTGGATGTTTTGTTGGAAGTTGCGATGGCTTAGTTTCCGGAAGCCCATCTCGGGGGTTCCAAACCAAAGCTAGGACACACGGCGGATCACAGCGTCTGACAAAGCTCTGGCAGGAAGATACATGGGTTACATGACTGTGCTTTTTTTGGAGTTACTACCATTTTTTTGGCGGTTTTGAAGGGGAACCAAAAGGAAGACCATCATTTTGGGGGGGTCCCCTCAAAAAGACAACCTGATTTACTTATTCTACAGCTGGACTATGGTCGATTTGTTTGCCCCGCCCAATTTTTCACTCTCGTTCCATGCACAGGGAGGTTTTCGCAAAAGGAAAGTAGTCTCCACACACCGTCCTGTCAGCTTTCATGATTGAAGGGAGGGTATCCTTCCCAGTGGATCCCAGTTACCCATATAGTAGGTAACCGGCTATGTTCTTTTTTTTGTATTTAGAGGGTGGTTCCCTTGGGTACCTACTATACACTAGGTCCTCCACTAGAGAAGATAGAACAAGGGTACCAACTTTTTTCTGTAGTCCTTTTAGTAGGGGAATCCTTCCCCAAAAAAGGGGTGAGAAAGGGCACTACTGGTATAGTAGGTAACTAGCTATGTTGCTTTTTTGGTTTTCAAAGGGTGGTTCCCTTGCTTACCTACTGTACAGGTAAATGGATCCCACTGGGTGAATGGGCCCTGCCAACTAAATTCCCAAAGTGGACTCGACCAATCGACTTGGAACCAGGGCACTGTGAAGACCTCGTGGATCATCACGTCCTCCTGCGTGGGAATGGCAGGCATTTTTTTCTTGCGGTTGCGCGTGGGGGAATGGCAGACCTTTAAGCCTCACATGGGCGTGGGTCAAAAATAGGGAAATCCCAAAATGGCTTGCCCTGGTAAATGCAAACAAGGACGAAAACCTGTCCCTGGTGGTGGAATTTTGACCCATGTGGAAGGGTAATGCTTGCCTAATGGACCTGGAAGGAAAAGGTTGACCTTTTTGGGCAAAAAAAACTCAAATCCAGGAAACTGACAAGTTAGAGGCGCTTTAGCTGCAGTGAGTAAGAATTTTGGGGGTTGATTCCTTTTCCATTCTTTTCAAATCATCGTTCTTTCCAAAAAGCGGATCCGTTTCCCTGGGTTTCCGGAGGCTTTCTAGAAAGATCCGGATCACTGGAAAGAACGGGGAAGGTCCCCCCAAAAGAATCCTATTATCTGTCCCCTTCAAAGATCATACGAGGGGATCTAGTTGGCTCCCACAGGCTGGGCTTGAATGGGCTTGACATGTCCCCAGCCTAAAGTGGGACACCCTGAAAATCAACCTGGGTGCGTTTTGTTTATTGAGTTGGCACCCTTTTTTATGGTTATTAAGGGGACACTTCCCCATTCTTTCCATTGATCCTTCTTTCCAGAAAACCATCAGAACCCCAGGGGAGACAGCTGGTTTTTGAAAAGAAGGATGTTTGAAAAGAAGGGGGTATCAACGAAACAGCTGGTGTTTGAAAATAATGATGGGTGTTTATCAACCCCTAGAGTTATGCGGAAATCAACAAAAAGGAAAACCGCCATGGCATCATGGGGGGTTTTCTATAAAAAGTCTATAGGAATTCGTTCATCTTGGGCTCCCAGCACTACCTTCGCCAATTCTTCGCCCAGTCCTCGCCCGGCTCCACGATGAACTTCTCGACCGCCTCCATCAGCTTCTTGTACTCCGGGTTCGGGTGCGTGATCCAATACCTCGGCCAAAAGGAAGTGACTCAAACGGGCCTTGGTGAGTGACCCTAATTTATGATCGCAAGTGACCCCATTGGCCGCAAGTGACCCCAATCCTCCGGTCGCAAGTGATCCGAATGCGAATGGATGCGAATCAAACATGGACCTACACTCCAGCAAAGACTCATCGGGTAGAGGAATCTCCGGAGATGGGGATCCCCTTTGAACCCCAAACAACCCACCGAAGAGCGATGAGGGACATGTTCGCAGCTTTGCATTGAGTTGACATGCTCGAGTCAACATACAAAAGAAGAGTTGAGATGAATCAGCCTGACCGGGACTCCTCCTCTTCAGACAGGCATGTTGGCACTTGCGGGAAACCAGAAATGGGGCCGGTGTCCTCTACATGTGCTTTCCTTTTGAAACAACCTCATGTCAAAAAACCCTCCAACATACCTCTTGGGAATACCCCGACCCTCGCGTGATGATTCCTTTGATAAGGTTCTGGGGAGTGCTCATACTGTCTGCTGCTGGGATGGGGTTTAGACTCATAACTCCAGCTATTCTTCTACTAAGCTGATCTTCCCAAGCACAAAGTTCAGCTCATCTTCCCGAGCACAAAGTCCAGAAACTGGAGAAGCGAGGAACAACGACCAGACCAAGAGTAGCCGAACCACCCTCTTGTCATCCTTTTGGGATACAATGTCTCAGCGTAGCCCGTTTTCCCAATTTTTGGTCTGAGCGCGCCACCCGTCAGGGGAACTCTAGGGGTACCTTTCCCATTCTTTCTAGGGATCCTTCGTTCCAAAATCCTCACTAAACCCAGGGAAAACGGCCGGTTTTCGAACAGAACGATGGTTGAAAATAATGGGGAATCACACCCTAGAGGAACCCCTTCCCTCCCCCCCTCCCTCCCTGCAGCCGCTTTTCCCTCGGCTCCAAGGGCGAAGGGCTGATAAGCCATGCCAAGCTTCTGCTGCGCATCCACAAATGTTCACATCGATACAGTTTGTGCGTGTATGTGTCGCTTAAAAGAAACCAACAAAACACCCCCCTGGACCTTCTGCTAGGAGCATTCTGGTTTCAAAGAGGGGAGATATACCTCGATCACTGATGGTAGACATTCACCCTCTTAGTTGCCACCACACATCACCACTCTCCATCGCCTGGAGGGCTTTGGGGGGAACATCATCTTCACACCCTGCGCCAATTAGCGTCCAGGCGTGGAAATTAGTACTTGTCGGCTGGGTAGCAAAGTCCGATCTTCTCCCTGACTTTGTCCATAACCTCGATAACTGCCAGTGAAAGCTCGTGAGAAACATGCTCGTTCTCTTTCTTACCCTGGGAAACATCAGCAGCGACCCTGTTGGCCTCATAGGCGAGCCCGGCGCTATTGATCAGATTAAACTTGTTGCTGATGAGTTCGCCCGCAGCGTTGGTGGTCGCCTCTGCGCAGGGGAGGCCCTCGGAAATAGAGGTGGGCATCTCCTTGGGATCGTAAGGCTCGACTGTGGCACTTGTGGGGCACAGGAACGGGAACGGGATACTGATCTTGGCCTTGGTCCCGTAAATCACCGCAGACCCCGCGTAGTTGTCGCGCAGCGACACGGCCAGCATCGCCTGGCGCCCGCCCGACCAGCCCAGCACCATGGAGGTCCGCACGTCGCCGCCCTTGGGCCCGAGCTCTCCGACCGCCTCGACCTTCTCGGGCTTCGCGCCGTTGAAGGCCAGCATTGCCAGGTGAATCAAATAGATGCCCACAGCCAGCAGCCCCCCGCCACCTGGCCATGGGTCAAAAGCAAGAGCAGGTACCCCCAGTGAACATCCCAATCCAACCACTAAAATAGGTTCTGAAATGGGTGGTGAATTCACCTACCAACCAAAATGGGATCCCAAAACGGTTTTGACCCACAGCCACCTTGCGTCACGTCCTCCACTCCAGGGTTCACATCCACCGGGTTCATCCAGCCAAAGGAAGCGTGGACGCTGGTGATGTCACCAATGTCGCCCCTCTTCATGGCATCTGACAAGGCCCTGACCACGGGGAAAAAGTGCATCCACACGCCTTCCATGAGGAAGGTGTCGTTCTTTTGGGCGGTCTCCAGCAACTGCCGTACCTCCCGGGCATTGACTCCTGCCGGCTTCTCCACCAAGACCGGCTTCTTCTTGCCCAAGGCTGCGCATGCCAGCTGCACGTGGCAGGACGTGGCCGCCGCCACGTAAACAATGTCCACCTCGGGGTCCTCCAGCGCCTCGTCGTAGGAGCCGTAGGCCTTGGGGACGTTGTGCTTCTCCGCAAACTCCTTGGAGCGCTCGAGGGCCCGCGAAGCAACGGCGACGATTTGCTCCTTCGGCGCTGCCAGCATGGCGATGGTGAAATCATGAGCGATTTGCCCGGTGCCCAGCACAGCCCACCTCATTGTGCACCAGGCCGGCTCGCAGAAACTGCAGGACCGGCGCGTGCGCCCAGCATGTTCCACTGGGCCTTGTTACTTAGCTCTGCAAACCGAAAGTTCCCGCCATTTTGAGCCAAAGCCACGTCAGTTGGCCCACCCTCCGACTTCATTTCTGAATACACATGTCAACCGTGTTGGTGAAATATTCCAACCGTTCAGTTGCAGGTAAATTCGCTGCGAAGGATTTAGAGAGAGGAGCCTCCCCCACTCACCGAGGTGTGCATGAACGACCTCCTTTGACAACCTGAAACTTCTGAAACTTTGATCGTCAAAATGAAAACATCTACTGTTCGTATTGAACAAGGGCCCATCACACTGGACCTCCCAAGAGCCGCCGTGACGCACTCAAGCACGCCGCATTGGTTCGTCAACTTCCGAGCCCCGGGGATGTCAGCGATTTGAAAATGAGCCGTTCAGAACACGATGGAATACGAACAGCAAAACACATGATTGTTCGATGCTGCCAGTGGTTTCGTCTCCCTGCTTTTGCAGCCAGCATGAACAGAACGTGATTGAAAAGCCAGATTCAATGCTAGTGATTCCGGCCCCCTGGCTTTGCAGGTAACCAAAGGAACCGCCCGGTAAAAAGGCTAAAAGGAAATGGCTGGTAAGCTATCAGGGTGGCTGGCCTGTCGCTGCCAGCTCTAAGATGGCTGAGCTTTATGCCTACAATCCAAAGGGCGTAGAGCCACCCAGATGGCCAATAGGAGTTCCAGTTCTGTGATTCCAGAGGCCTTGCCAAAGACATTTCAGAGAGGTTTGGTACAAAGGGAAAAACTGTCCTTCAACCCTGCACCCACACAGGTTTGCTGGGAGACCAAGGATTCGACAGTGGTTTTCTTTTGGGTTTCTCTTGGGATACCTCCCCAAAAGGCGTGTCTACATGTTTACAGGTCCTCCCATTAAACAGCTCCCAAAACCCACTCCTATTGGCCATCTAGGTGGCTTTACGCCCTTTGGATCGTAGGTATAAAGCTTAGCCGTCTCAGAACTGGCAGCGACAGGCCAGCCACTCTGACAGCTCACCAGACATTTCCTTGGCTGGAATTAGGACCCCACCAGAAAAAAAACATGTTTTTGCCTGGTTAGTGGAAAACAAAGGGAACTCCAAAAAATCAACAAAAAAGAAAAAGGGGAACTCATTCTGGGGAAGTTTCCTTTTTGCCTTTTAACAGGGCGGTTCCTTGGCTACCTGCAAAACCAGGGAGACCCCGGTCCAGGTGCTCGAAGGGATTGTTGTTCACCGCGGCCACGTTCCAGCTCACCACCCTCATTCTCAAGCCATCCTTCGCTTCGGATCCAAGATGCGGAACAAAACGTGTTGGGACTGTCGGAAAATGCCAGTGGATCCCGGGCAAAACTTTGTGGTAGGTCCTCCAGTAGAGAGGTTAGAATAAGTTGGTACCAAGTTTTTCTGTAGTCTATTTTAGAAGGGGAACCCTCCCCACAAAAAGGGTAAAAGGGCACTACTGAGGGACCGAGCTATGGTAGGTAACCCTTCGCTACTTTCCTTTTGGTTTTTGAAGGGTGGCAAGGCCTTGGTTGCCTACAGCTGAATGGATCCACTGGGGCACTGGTTTCCACAATCCATCAAAACATTGACGTCTGCAAGGTGCCAGGAGAGGAAGCGAGTCTATCCGGTCTCAAAAAGCTTGGGATCTTGTAACGTTCGGGCATCAGCAATACACCCCGCAAACCACACACAGCAGCAAACAAACAAACAAGCAAGCAAACAAGCAAACAAACTTGAAAGAAAAAAATAAAATAAAAATAAAACAGGTGTTAATCACCTCCTGGGTGGATAGGACAAACAAGTCCCAACTGTCTTGTCAACAAAAGGGCCTTCCAACAATCAAAAGTCCAAAAACTCTGGGGGTGAGGTGGCAAACCAGTTTGCCCCGGGTGGCTACTGCACTTCGCCACAATTGATACCTGAGAGATTTGGGTGGATTCTGGCACATGACATGCGCAACCCAGATTTGCGGGCCAGCAAGTTCATCACAATGCAGACTCATAATGGTCAATCAAAACATGGTCTTCCAACAAAAAAACATATATTTGTTTAAAGCCCCTCCCAACAAAAAAGCAGAGGGTGAGCAAACCAAAGTTAATTGCCAATGACAGCCGCGCATCCTTGGCTTGCCCGGAGAAGGTCTCCTGAGCTTAGCTCGAATGCGAGGTGCCGATGGGAAATACCTCGAAATACGAGCGCCTTGGAAAGGAAAACTGGAGGGCCGGTGTCTTCTTTGAGGGTACCCTTTTGTCAGGTTGGCTTTTCCAGTGAAGCCAAAAGGACGACGCCCATTGTGGGGTCCCCCTATTTTGAACATGGTTTGGGGTACTGGAATCAAGTTTAAGTGACAATTCCACATCGTGGATCGCAGTTGCGCGCGGTCATTTTCCGCATATTTTGCCCTTTGGCAGGTTCCAGCATCAGCTTTTGGACCAATTTGAACATGAGCTGTCTTCAGGGAGCGATGTTTCAGATTGGACATATTGGGCCCTATCCAAGTCTAAATCACCCTAATACATTGTGGTCACAGAAAAGCAATCACTGCTCTAGGGCCTATAGGGGTACCTTCCATTTCCATTCTTTCCAGGGATCCGAATCTTTTCAGGACACCATCAAAAACCCAGGGGAAACAGCGTTTATTGAAAAGAACGATGGTTGAAAAGAATGGAAAAGGAATCAACCCCAAGAATTGCGGAAGTTGCTCGTCAATATATTGATGTGAGACCCCCCCCCCCCATCCTCCAGGCAAGCAGAACACCGACTTCTGCACGCACTTCCAACTTCAAGTTGTGTGCCCCGAGTCCAAACTGAGAGACTAACCCTGCAATCCGAGAAAACGGACGGAAACCTTTGGTTGTTGACCATTGCAATGGAGAAAAACATATGTTCAGAACATTCGTTGCACAAAAGTTGTAGAACTCACAAACTGGTCTCCCCCCCCCCCCCACAAAAAACAGAAACACAACTTTTCAGAGGCATCGCTGCAGCCCAAAACACAACCCTTCCCTTCGCAGGTGGGGAAATATGCTTGTGAAATCTGAGGGCTTAACCGTGTGTCAAAGGGCTTGTCGCTGGTTTCTTTTTAATCTGAGGGTAGCAACTCCAAAACTGGGCTGCCCGTTTTCAGATCCCCTGCTACACGTAACACTTTTAGTGGGTTAAATGGAACCCCACTAAGCACTAAAAGGCCAAAAAGCTACGGAACCGGATGGCTGGGAGCCGCCAAAAAAAAGACACCCTGTTGGCAGCTTTCTTTAAGAGCCCGTGGGATTTCTCGCAAGCTTTCCACTAGGTTTTCCAGGGGCAACCATTTCAGAGACATAGGGAATGTTCCCGGGGTCTCCAAAATAATGGATTATTTGGGTAGACGAAATCTCAAACATCATCTGAGTCGAAATCAAAACCTGGTACTAAAATGGTCTGCCCAGGACTATGTACAGGACTGAGAAGCGCAGCTATTGATGGTTGGGATCGTCCCTTACTAACCTTCATCTACCAAAGGGTTTGGAGCACGTGGCTCATCTGAAGATCTTACTTTTTGTTGCCCCAGATTTGGACCATGGTTCTCCTCGGCGGCGACTTGGAGCCTCTTCTTGGGAGTGCACTCAACCATTGATTGGTTGGATTGGTGGTTTGGCTAGGTCCTCCAGATTTGAGAGGTGAGAATAAGTTGGTACCAACTTTTTTCTGTAGTCTATGTTAGTAGGGGAACCCTCCCCCAAAAAAGGGTGAGAAAGGGCACTACTGGGGAACCTAGATGGGATTTGAACCGGCAAATGGGAACCACCCCAAGAGGAAGCTGAACCAAGGGTCGAGCGCCCCTCCAAGAAGTTTGGTGACACGCGGACTGCTTGGTAGCCACCAGGAGTCGCCAATAAGAACATGTTCCATCCATGTGGGTCCCAAAAGGCGAAGAATCAAATTGCCAACCGGGTGACATAAAAAACTCAGCCATGGGGCCCAAAAAAGCCCATCGATCTCAGCCATGGGTCACCGAACCTTGGGTATGGGCCATGGGTATGTGCGGTTGTCTTTTTTTTGGGGAACCCCCAGAGTGGACTCTGTATTCCTTTTGGTGTCCTTTTGAAACCAACCAAAAGATGACACCCAATAAAGTCAAAGCCATGTAGGGTTTCTCGTGCTTCTCCTATTCGCCCAAAGGACCTGGAAAAACGATGTGCAAGCTTAGTTTGAAACAGCCGAACAGTGGAAAAAAAGAGCTCCGTCGTTTCACTTTGCTGGCAAGCGAGTCGTCACTACTGGGTAGAATGAGGCTCTCAATATTCCCACTTTGGATTGCTTAGACATCGCCTTTTGGAATTGCCATATTGTGATGCTCTTGGAATTATGTTAGGCTGGAGATACAGTTGAAAGCCTGCAGAAAAATCAGCCGCTAAAAGGTCTATTTCCATTGGCAAGATCCCCCCTGCCTCAATTAAGGGCAAGTCCAAGGGCCCCAATCCGAGGGTACCTGGACCCTCATAAAAACCCTCAAAAATGGGAGATTGCCCCAGACTTATGGGGGAATTCCTATTTTTCGTGGGTGCTTTAAGGGTCCAGGTACCCTTCTGGGCGTAGCGTCCGAAGCAAAACCCGGGTGCCGATTTCGAGTTCGCCCAGCGGCCGCGAAGGCGCCCGCGGCCAAGCCGCGCACGCTCCTGCATCCGAGGCTCACAGTGGAAGGGGAGTCAGCTTCCATGATAGGGAGGGTATCCTTCCCAGTGGATCCCAGTTACTCATATGGCTGTGGGTCAAAACAACATCAAAATAGCTGGCAAATGGATGTTCATCCACCCCAAAATGGAGCCATAGGTTATGCCCCATGGCCATATAGTAGGTAACCAGCTATGTTCCTTTCTTTGTCTTTAAAGGGTGGTTCCCTTGGTTATCAACTATACCCACTTTTTTCCCCAACAGCTAAAAGCTTTGGAGTCTCAGCCCACATCGGCTCCGGGGTGGTCCGGGGCCCCACGAGGGTTCCACCAGGGTTCCACGAGTGGTGCGAGCACTAAAAAGAGCACCGCATGCTGTTGGGGATATCACCTGAGCTTATTCCTTTTTTGTCTATTTTAGTAGGGGAACCGAATCTCCCAACCGAAAAAGGGTGAGAAAGGGCACTACTGGGGGTCCTAGGCGACCATTGCCATGGATGGTAACCATTCTAAGGTAGTGGATAGCAACCATTGCAAAGGAGTGGATGGAAACCATTGTAAATTGCAAGGTAGTGGATAGTTACCATTGTATCAAGAGGAACATGAGGAACAACAAGGTACCATGGTATAAAGTGGATAGCAATTTAATAAGAGGAACTTAGAAAGAGGTACATGAGTCATAGTCAAAACCATGCTTCAAGAACCAAGAAGACGGATTTGCGCAGCTATTTCTGGCAAGGGGATTGTCCCTAACCTTCATCTACCCTGGGTTCGACTGTGCCGCACATGAAAGAAGTGGATGGTAACCATATCGTAAGGTAGCACTTAGAAAGTGAACATCGCGACCATGGTTGGCACCCTGGCCCAAGATTTCAAAAGCTGAGCTCAGGGATCCCCAAGTCAAGTTGATCTTTGGTGGGCTGGTTATAATTTGTCCCCGACTCGGTGAGCTCGCTCGATAAAACAGGCAGAAATAGATTGGCTGCCAACGGGTGACGCTTGAAACCCCCAGGAAGGGCTGTGGGGTCCCTGGATAAGCCTGGGATAAGCCCACGACATGCAAGCTCCCTGTTCAGATTGATTGCCGCCTGCCTCAGCACCCAACCCCCACGCCCGCTCCGCGTCTGCAAAGCCAGCAGCAAAAGGTAGCGCGAAATCATGATGCGAGATCTCTTCGGGTCTGAATTGGGCATGAGCTTAACATCGACATGGGGGGTATGTAGCCACCATGTTTGGACATACAGCATAGATACCACTTGGGGCGGGTGTTCTGTACCATGTGTGGGGTTTCGGCTCTTGATTCAAAGCACCTCAGGCAGCTGTCCAGGAAGTCCTGTGAATTCGCGAAGGTTTTCCCACTTCTTTGGGTGTGGGCGGGGCATTTTGGCAAATTTCGGACTCGCAAAACGGGTGGTCTCCGGGTCTGTCGGTTTTCCTTTAAAAGAAAAGGCGCCTCGCCCGGCGCTTTTTGAGCCGCAGTTTCAACGCTGCGGCTTTTTTGGCTCTCGTGCAGGCGACTCAAAATGGGCGCGGGGACCGGCTCCAAAGGCTCAAAAGGGTGGGTTTCCTTTCTGGCCTTCGGCCAGAAAAATGGCTTCGGCTGCCTTTCAAGAGGATCTCCTAATCCCCAAGCCCCATTTCTTGTTGAAGATGTGAAAGGTCAAATCAGCCAAAGCCCGGAACGACGCATCTTTAAGCTGTGTCAAATCAGGGATCCCCAAGGTCAACTGATTGCAGCTTCACTCCAAGTAGTGGTTTGGATTGGTGGTTTGGAGGCGTTCCGGTGGTCGTTTCCCATTAGTCGGTTCAAAACCCCAAGCCACCCATCGAAAAAGCCAACCTTGGATGCATTCAAGGAACCTTCCGAAGCTTTCGCGCAATTCGGGATCGAGCTCCAAACTATTGCCCAGTATCGCGTTGCCATGCGGAACCCACCAGAGGATCCCCTGTAGAGGATGTTGCTTCTTCTAGGATCCTTCATGTATGTGGGAGGGTAGAGTCACGCCCGGGTGCCGCCTTTTCTCCAGGCTCCGTGTCAAACAACACCTCCTTGCGCGAGCACGCGCGAGAAGCGTGCTAAAGCGGCGCTCAGGAGAAGATGGCATCCATCTTCTCCAGCAAAGCTCGGGCCTCGAGTCACGGGCATTCTGGCCCAAGGAACACGGACATCTGAGTCAGAATCACAACTCGGTATGCTCTCAAATCCAGGCGGCACTTATGTCTGTCTGAGAAAAAGCCCTTCACCTTCATCTGCCCGGGTGTTGCTTCTGGCTGATCTGAGAGAGACTCACCCGATGGTCCTTTGGCAAGAAAATCGTCAGACACAAGTTGCTGGCTCCCCAAACGCGAGTCGGCTCAGCAGTGCAGACCCGTGGCCATGGAAAAAAAGGGGGGAACCTTTTCCCAGAGGGTCCAAGTACCTCCTGAGGATGGCTTTTGGGGGGTAAAAAGGGGTCTAAGTAGCTCCTTAGAAGGTACCAAGGGACCCTCTGGGTTTGTTGGTACCTAACCTCAACTACAAGGGCCCCGTCCACCATAGGCCACCTGAAGAAAAGCAGATGGCCCTGGTGAATGGGATGCCCTCCCACCAATGGGACTGACCTGACCTTCGGGGGGGCAAACCTCTCGCCCCATCGCTGGCTGCCGTCCGATTCGAGACCAGGTCCATCTCTTTCTTACCGCAACTCACCGATCTTCAAAACACAGCTATGCCCTGCCAGGCCAGCTCACCGGGCTGGGAAAGACCCTTTTAGCCACTCAGGACCCCAAAGAAAACTGAACAACTTATGTCCCAAGTGTCCTTCTGACCAAAATGGCAGTTGAGACCCAGGTGAGCCAGGCTTGACCCATGTCCAAAGTCTGTCCAAAAAGGCGGTGGCTGCGACCCAAGTGCTGCGTCTGCTGTCTTATCACGGAAAGGGGGAGTGTAGATCCAAAGTTCGCCAGTCCGTATGGGATTGCAAACATGGACCAGCCCACATCAGGTAAGTGGGGAAAGGCCAAAATATATGACCAAGGCGATATTCATCACCGGGGACTCATTTTGGAAATTGTCACGACCGACGTGGGTCCTTGACCATTCCAAGTAACCCCAAGCCAAAGGGTGTTTTCACCACTGTCTTGGCAGAGTGTTTCATCATGGTCTTGGCAGATGGCTACTCTGTCAGGGTCCTAGATCATTGCGAGTGGCAACCCTAAAACCACAAGGCCCGTTTCATTTGAGGTCTTTTGCGGGCTTAATTCCAGACTCCCAAGCCCTTCTTCCCCAGAAGACCTCATTCTTATCAACAAATCTTGGTTAGGGCAATTCCATCCATACCCAAACCCAAACCTAAACCACTCCCTCCAACCGCTCGACCGCTGAAAACCGAAGCGCTCAACCGCCTGGTCACCGCTCTGAGTCATGCGCCCTTGGCTTGGGAATGTCAAAGGACAAGTCCCCGCCCACCTGACCGAAGCACCGAAGCTTCTGGGGGCGTTTCTCGCTTCGCTGGTTGGGTGCGAGACATGGCCGGGCTGAGAAAGGGAATGACCCCAAAAAAACCACCCGTCCGACTGGCGGTGTCCCCCCCCCCCAAAAGAAGGGGAAACGGATTTATGAATTCACTGAGCAGCAAGGTTGTAAGGTGTCGGCCGAAGGTGATCCCCTCAAAGGACACAGCTGGATTGTTTAGAGGGGTCATTCCCTTCCCTGCTGAGCACCAGCCAGCCACGTGGGGCCCTTACCATTTTCCCGGAAGTGTTGCCCTGGAGAATCACCCCCGAAAAGTGAGACGCACAGATGTTTTTGACTAGGTCCTCCAGTAGAGAGGTTCGAATAAGGGTCCCAACTTTTTCTGTAGTCTATTTCAGCAGGGGAACCCTCCCCCAAAAAAGGGTAAGAGGGCACTACTGGCGGACCTAGTTGAGTTGGCAGCTACCAACACTACTCCACACTCACGACCGACTACTCCACTACCGACTACTCCACTACCCACTGGCGTTTGCCCCAAACACTTGCCGCGCAACTGGATCCGAACCCAAACAGGGGGCTCAAGAGGAAACTCTTCCAGACGTCTTGCGGAGTTCACATGCGCGATTATACATGGATTCCAACATCCCGATAAACATGCTTTTTTGGACATCCGAAACCGAACTAACACTAGAAACCTGCTTGGTGGGGTCCTAATCCATGAGTGAAGCCGGAATCTGAAAAAAGCCAGTAAGCGGTTGATGTCTACAGCTCAGAAGTCCCCAGAAGTAAATCCAACATAGGCTTTTGGTTGTGGTGATTTGGAGCACGTCCAAACCATGTCCTCCTAACCGACCGTAGCCTAACCGGAATCCCAGAGCTTCAGATCTGAGGGCCGCGCCCGCGGATTCACCTCGAAGATGCAGATGGAGCCATCCTCCCGCAGCTTGAAGTTGAAGTTGCAAATGCCGCCTGAGGCGCGGATCGTGGTCACATTGTGGTCATGTTGTGACCAGCGCCTGTTCGAGCACGACAATTCTTAATGTTTTTTACCACATTGTCACAAGACCAGCGCCTGTTCGAGCACGACAATTCAAAAACTTTACCAACACTAGCCGGATGGAAGATCAGCTGGGCGACAAAAGTGAGCCGTGGCCCGCAAACAGCTTAAGTGGTCACATTGTGGTTCCCACACAAACCTGGTTGAACCAATGGGCAGAAATCGTCTTGTGAGAAATCGTGGCCTCAGGTGTCTCTCAAATTAAGCAGAAACTAATAGAAACTACTTGGATGTTCGGCCAAATTCGTAAGTTGGTGACCCAGGTTATAACTTAACCCACGTTTGACCAAAGTGGCTAAGCACTGCCTAACCTGGCGAATCGAACCAAACAAAAACAGGAAAAGCAACGGTTTTGCGTTTGGTTCCCTGTTGGTTTCCCTTCAAAACCACGAAAAAGAAAACCAAGCAGCAACCATCTCCTGTTCAAGGATGGGCGCCTTGCAATCTGTGCAGAATGCAGAGCAAGGGATCCCAAATACCACTAGAAAATGTACACACATAACAGGCAATTGTCCTCGTGTTGTTCAGAGCGGCTCCCTTTACCTACTTCCTTCTCAGACCTGCAAAAAGTCAATTTGTTGGACCTCGAGCGCTGTAACTGTGGCAAAGGCAAGGGGCTTCCGGATTCGGCGAGCGTCTAGGGTGAGAAGGCGAAAGACCCAAAATCACCATTTGGTGGGTATGTTGCTGAGTCTGCCCCATGTCCAAATCAATAAATAATGGCAGTGGCTCACATGAGCCACGGGCAAAATGACTTCTTCGTCCATGTTCCGAACCCCAAATGGACCAGCTTTGACCGAACCTCCGGATTCTGCTTGTAAAGAGCTGGGCCTCTCGCTGAATCCTTTCAGGAACTTCCGGAAGATGTTCAGGTGCTCGACCTCAAGTGGATTGGTCGAGTGGAAAAACCTGACCAGCCCAAGAGGCTGGGGCTCAGAAAAGGACTCTAAGACGGTTGAGGGGGCCTAATGATTAGCCTTCCAAATTGAGAAACCCGCGGAGTGGAAAATGCATCCGAGCAGAAGAGGGGAACTGTATGACCGAGCCAAGCCGAACGGTGGGAAGGCAAGAGCCCAAAAGAGACCAGCGAGAAAGGCACTTGACTCACAATCAAAACCCAGTACTAAAATGGTCTACCCAGAAACATGTAAAGAATTGAGAAGGCAGCCGCAACTATTTCTGTCTGGGACTGCCCCTTACTAACCTTCATCTACCCGGGTTTTGATTGTGGTTCACTTGAAGACACTCAAGCACGAGCCGACCCACCAGGCATAGCAGTGCAAACAGCCAAGCACAGCAAGAGCCTAGCTGCACTTGGTGCTGTGATAAGCAGAAAATGTGGGAATGAAGCCAGGCTTTGCTCCCCCAATAAAGGAAACCACCAGTTGCATGGTTTAAATCGGGGTCCTCACTTCCTGAGTGGGGGGGGGAGCCAACAAAAAGTCGCCAAACTGTGTGTTTACCACTAAAATGGCAACCAAACCAACAAAAGGTGACGATCAAGTCCCAAACCCTGCCAAGCAGCATATTGCCCCAAATTATGGGGCATCTCTCTTTTATTGGGCCTTTGAGGGTCAAGGGACTGCTTTTTGGCAATCTTTGTTGGGTTTAACCCCAACGTGGTCGATCCAGGTCAACCATTCTTTTCTTTACCGCTCTGAGTGGGAAACGTACCTCACCCCCAAAAGGTCCACCCAGAAGCACACACCCGAAAGGTCACCCCCCCCAAAGATTCACCCTGCAAGGGCGTCCGCGTCTCTCGAGCACTCGCCCTAAGTTAGGGTCCACGGTCCCGGGGTCACGGGGTCCCGGGCGGGCACACTGCAAAGCTCCTGCTCCACAAGCCGCACGTGAGGCCAAACCTCGCAATCGAATTTAGCTCGGGGGAGACAGTTTGTCTGTTTCTTTTGTTTTTTCTGTTTTTGTTGGTGGGTGGGTGGTTGGGGGGTAATTGATATTTTGCCTTTTCTTTCGTGGGGGGGGGGGGGTGGTTGGGGGAATTGTTTCTTTGCCTTTTCATTAGTGGGGGACGGGTGGGTGGGTGGGGGTAATTGCTTTTGTTTTGTTTTTTTGTTTTGCTTTTTTTTGGGGGGGCACCCTGGTAGGGAGTTTCAAATATATACATGGTTTAGCAACTTGCTGGCTCCAATTAAATATGAGTTGGAATCCCGAACCATTCAACAGCTGGCTTCCTGTTGGGGACATAGGCCTACTGAAAACGAGGAAGACTGTTGGGGGGCCATTTTCGCTGGGCACCCTGAAAATGAGCCAGAAACCGTTCGGAACACGTTTGACATAGAATACTCAATGTAGGGCCACTGATGTTGACCCCGTATCTACTGAAAACTTCACCTGGGCCAATGTTGTTTTAGCTTCCCTACTTCAAGGGGCCGGGTACTTCGGTGCTTGGAAATCATGGGCAAGGAAACCAGCAAAGCCATGGTAGGTCCTCTAGGTTAGAACCATGGTTACTGCTAGGTCCTCCAGTAGAGAGGTGAGAATAAGGGTACTCTTGTTTTCTGTAGTCTATTTTAGTAGGGGAACCCTCCCAACCAAAAAAGTTGGTAAAGGGCACCGGGGGACCTAGACTAGCTACTTACCATGGTTGGAACAAAGGGAGAACCTTGAATGACTGACCTTCCCACTTGGCTGGATGACATCAACCATCCCCAGTCCATAAGTCCCCCAAGTGGAATTCACCCTTTGCAACACTCCGACTATTTTCGCGCAGTGGATGGGATGTGGCTGTGGCTCAAAAAACCGGAAAATACCAACATGGGTTGCCCTGGTAAGTGGAAACATGGGCCAAAACCTGAGGTTGCCCCTCCTGTTTAATTTTGAGCCACACCCATGTCCAAGCTGTTTGCTTGCCATCCAAGTGAGTCCAGGAACTCCGGGCTCAGGCGGCTCAGGATTCGGGGGTCTGACCATGTGGTTTATCCCCCATAGGTTTTCGCGATAATCTTCACCCAGCTCAAGTAGAGATAGGAACACAAAAAACAAACACCAGCTGCTTGGCCATCCAATGGATGTCAGGGGTTTCAATCCGCTCCCTGCCCTAAAGTGAACATCTCTAAGTCTCAACCTTAAAGACTTAGGTCACCCGCTTCAAGACCTACAGAAACACCAAGGACATGAACCAAAAAAAACACACGCCATTTTTGGAGGTCCGCCGATCTTTGAGACACGCCCAAATGAGCGCCTAGTGGGCGGCTCGGATGTTGGGCAGCGTCCCACCCAGAAACTCAAATCCCCAAACCAACCCAAAAACACCAAAAAGGGCAAGCTGCCTGCTTACTTCCCCGCAAATAACGCGAAACCCCAAAAAGTTAGGGCTCTTTTGAACAGAAGACTCTACGGATGATGGTTCTATTGGTTCCATGCTAGTCTCCGGAGCATTTGTTTTCCCCAGTGGATCTCCGTTTCTACATGTGTCCTTTTAGTCTTTAAAGGACAGTTCCCTTGGTTGCCTACAAACCCAGGCAAATTAAATCACTGGGCTCTGGACGATAGTCTCCGACAATATTCGGAGTTCATGTTTCTGGGGCGGGAAGTTTGCTGAAATTTTGCGTGGAACATCATCGAACCCACAAAGGGTGTCCCACAGCAAAGAGACCCCCCCACAAACGACGATCCTTTCGCGTTCCATTTTAATCTTCAGTCTAGCTACAAAGACGATCAAAGGTCTGCAACTCCCCTGTCCGGAGGGGTTCTGTCTTGGGGCTCTGCCGGAGTAACCTGTGCGAATTTAGATAACAATGTGGCTATCTGTTCTTTAACCAACAGTAAACTATATGGCCATGGGTCAACATCCCGTACCCCAGTGAACATCCCAATACTCAAACAGACTAAAATGGGTGGTGCATCTACCCCAAAATGGTACCATTGGCTTTGACCCACAGCCATATTGCAGTGCCTTGTTGTTTGGATAATTTTTAGGGCCAGGTACACTAAATTTTCACGGGACCCAGGCGGGCCACCCGTGTTGTGACACCTCTTGTGTTAGGCGTCGGCAAGGCTACAACTTTGGATGCGCCATGTATTTTCTGAGTGGATTGGCCAAGAAACGTCCGCACTTTCTGTTTACCACCCGAAGTGGGGAGTGAGATTGAAACAAGGAGCGCTAGGCCGTGGGTCAAAACCAATGGTACCATTCTGGGGTAGGTGCACCACCCATGTCTATTTTAGTGGGGATTGGGATGTTCACTGGGGGTACGGGAGCTTCACCCATGGACAACAGGAACCCAAAATAGGGTTTGGTGCTCTTTGACCAGTTGGCTTGCAGCCCTTCCTTTTCGGAACAAAGGAACCCGCATCAACAAGTCGATGGGTGTACCTTCAGGGAATCTCAGTGTCTCTTGCCGCCGGGTTTTCTCAGCCGACGTTTTTTTGTTCAGATCTACCAGCCTTGGATCGATCCACCTGGCGGTATTGAGTTTGAGTTCCGCCATGCCCTCTGTAGCTTTTGGATGATCTGCCCAATCTTTAGCCTTTACCCATGGCATGAAAGCTTGACTTGACATACCCAGCGAAGCTGAGGCCGGGACGTAGGCCTCCATGCTGTAGCGATACTTGATCCCAGCCCAATCCTGAGGCACTGACGCGTCACCAAACCCGGCCGCCATCAAAGTCCCCCTGCAAAGTCGCCCACCCCAAGTGCCAGGTTCAGGGAAACAACACCTGACTCTCATTCGCCCCAAGAGTCAGCTGTGAGAACAGCTGTGGCAATATGCGCCTTGTGGCAAAGTGGTTCCCCATGACCACTTTGTCACAAAGACTCCATTATCACAGAAATGGCCTATCAGGACAAAATTGTACAGGCCATATGGGCCCCTAGTTTGTCCCCGGACTGCATGCTCCTCACATGACCAGTTTGCAAGCATGTATGCATGGCCCTATGCCGATACCAAATGGCAACCAAATAAATTATCCGGCTGCATCACGGCCAAATCAAGTTTGCATCTACAAAAACACATTGGGTCTGTTCAAACCGGGACCCTGTGTTGGTCCATGTTGCAAGACACAACGAAATGACATTGAGCAGTTGGAGCCAGCTGTTGGACACCCTTCCCTTCAATCATGAAACCAACCGTTGGACTGTTTTAGACAGGGATCCTTACATTTTACACCTGAACATTGCAACTTGTAAATGGTGGTGTCCATTTCTTTATTTTGGTGTTGAAAAAGCCACATATTTCAAATGGTTGCAGAATGTATCGGCCCTAGGGGGTTCGGACGTTTTTGTCGCAGCCCAGCTTTTACACATGCCAGCTGGCGACTGAACATCGCAAGCAATACAGACAAGTGTTCCCCAATGATTTCGCCCCCTGAAAGCGTGCTTTTGCCGGTGGGGCAAAACCCTTGGCCAGTCCGGGGTGATCAAAAAAGCAAATATGATCCCAAGCCCTGGCAATACAGTACTAGTACTAAACTCATACTAACTCATGCGAATAAGCCAAACGTGAACCGGCAAAACCAACTAAAGCCACAAGCAGCTCAAAATTCTGTATGACACCCTTTACGAAAGCAGCCACCCAAACAAAGTTTGTTTGGGGGTGGTACAGGGCAGCCCTAAACATGTTGAGGGGAGGAAACAAAGAAAAGACAAATCTCTGGGCGAGTGCCGAGGGATACTAAACAAATGCTAACCAATTCTAAAGACTACTGAACCAGTACAACGGAGTACTAGTCCAATACTAAACCAATTCCAAGCCGTGCTGGGGCCCAGCCGGCCAGCTAAAGCAATTCTAGATCCCAGTGCTAAGCAGTATCACATAGAGACTAATGTTGACCCAGGATTAATAAACCTGTCCCACTATTAGGGGGTGTTCCCTCCCAAAGTGGTCTGAATCCAACCACTAAAAGGGGACACCCCCCAATCAAAATCAACCAGGGGTTCTGCTTAATCCGGGGTTAACATTAATTGAGTAGGGCCAGCTCTGACCCCCCGATTTGAATTTTTGCGGAGGGGCCCTTTACGTAGCGAAGGTTTCAGGCATTCGGTTTGCCTCTCCGCGGATATCCCTCGACTTTTCCAACAAGCCGAACTGTCAAGTGGCATTCCCAGACTCGAATGCTCTATATGTATGGAAGTCCCATTCCACTTTCGGAGGGACCCAACCCCAACAACGGTCTACCTGATTCAAAAAAGCAATGGGCCTCATGGATTGACTTTTCCGAAGAATCAAGGCGGAAAACCAGGGCTCCATCTTTCGACCCTAGTGGATCCCAGGCAAGCCACAAGGCGTAACCAGCAACTTCGATTTGCTTCAGTCCCCTGGGAAAAAGCATTCCATCTTTTTTCCACCGCAGACATCAGATTTCGCCTCGAGCAAGCTATTGGATTATGCTTGATTTAGGTAGGCGATCGCTCTCCTTCAAGGCCCAGAGGAGGAAAATGAAACATCTTCAGCAAATGGAAGTAAAGGGTGGTGCCCCTGGTAACCTCACTTCCTGAGTGGATGGGCCGAAACCAGAGGAATGATATTCGCCACTGACACGTTCTTCCGAACAAGCTTTTAAGTCCAACTCGGTTTGGTAAAGGAAACATGGTTGCCCAGAACCTCTCTGGGTTTCCCTCAGGACCTCAGGAAGTAAGTCTCCCGAAAAGGAGTAAACAAAAACACTTCAGTTTCCCTCCGCGGAAAAAAAAAAAAGAAAAAAAAAAAAGTCACCCAAAAAGGAGGAAACACCTTTAAGTCGCCCTCCCCGGCAAGAAACAAAACATGTAAAAAAAAGAAACACACACACACACAACCCCCCCCCCCCCAACAAAAAAAAACGGTTCACCGGGCCCCCCGGCCAGGATCTCCGCCTGGTGTACCAGCAGCGTGGTGGAGTACTCCAAGTCCCCCCGGATCATCTCCTGCCTCGCCCGCGCAGTCGGCGCTCTGTCTTAAGGTGTTGGTCCGCCCCAAAATGGGCGGTTTCCTTTTGGCTTCCCTGAAGGGAAGAGACAAGAAACAAGGGTACCTCTACAACTACCTTCCATTTCCATATGCTTTCCACCCACTAAACACCAAATAAACACTAAAAGGCTAAAAAGCTAAGGGGATGGCTGGGAGCCACCAAGTTAAGAACCAAACAAAAACACATTTGAACCTTACAAAAAGCACAGTTGGAGAACCTGGTAGAACCACCTGCTTGAAAACTGAGAAAGGGAAATTGGGTGTTGCTCTTCTTGCTGTTTGAAGCGAGCTTTGCCACCTGTTTGGACGTCAGGGAACCATACTTATCCGGCGCTTTGTGCCTTTAAGTATGGCATCACAAATAGGAGAGCAAAATAAACAAAACCCTTTATTCTACCGCAACTTGCGCCGCTTGCTCCAAAGTTAGAGAGCGAGCAAAAGAGGGGGGGAAAGAGAAAGAGAAAGAAAGAGAGAGAGAGAGAGAGAGAGAAAGAGAGAAAGAAACAAAACCGGGCTTGAATTTCATATGGTGCAGTTGCTCATTTGCGTCACAGTGTCAAGTCCCTTGGGTGGATCCGAATCTGTGTTTCCTGCTTGCGGGCAATGTCGAAGCCGACGAAACGATTCGACCAGGTGTGAAATGGGCCCAACCAATTGTGTGTAATACTGCGGATTGACTACGATTCCTGCACCACCAAAGAAACCCTGGAATGATGGTTCCCTGTACCTGGAGTCTCCATGACCCTTTAAAAATGGGGTCATTACCCAAAATAAAGGGGTCGTGAACCCATTTTTAAAGGGTCATGGAGACTCCATGTAAATACCAACATGCCCATGGATCCAAAATGGTGCTGGATTCTGTCGATGCACAGTACCGCTAAGCGAGCTTTCAGGGTCTAATACTAAACCAGGACCACCCCTATGTGCGGCGCGTTCGGCAGAACCATTTTCCTGCACAAACAACTGATTCACTTCAATTGCGGCCCAATTGAAAACTTTCTCTGATTTCTAGATACGTCCACCTTCCCCGCGGATTCCGTTTACTCAGAGGATTGACTTTCTGGGGGGGGGAGGGTGTATTAGTCCGACATTCAAGGCGCTGGCACTTCTCACGAAACTCGCCCTCCCGATTCCATCTCCCTGTGTAAAAGGCAACCAAGGGAACCGTCTTTAAAAAACTAAAGGACGTGTTATGGTTTAATCTGGGTGAATTATAAGATTTCACCAGCCTGAAAGAAGGTGGTTGGAGGGGTATTCCCCACACAAACCACAAAATTTAGGGTGAGGTCGTGTGAGGTCGTTATAATTCACCCAGGTTTAGCAAAAACACAAATAAACCTTTTATGGTTTAACACTATATATAAACAGCTTAAAACAAAAACAACAAAATGAGAAAAAAATGGTTGCCCATTGAGGGACTTAACTGGGATCCAGCAGGTGGATGGCCAGCCCGGAACATCGGTCAAGAAACAAACGGTGCTTCTTGGATATTGGCAGATGGGAAAGAACAACATTAATGAAATACAACAGGTAGATACCATTGGGGGCTCAGCATCCACATGCACATAGACATCTGTACATATAAATAAGTTTAGGTCCTTGGGGATGGTTTAGGCTCTCAGTTTTCTTGAGGTCTGATCCATGCGGATCTGGGGCTCCAGGCAGGAGCCAGTGGTCCTCGAGGCCCTCGGGCGCCAAGCGCATGGCTTGGTCCTTGCTCTCCACCTGGGAGACGCTCTGCGCGCGGGCGCACGCGCGGGCGCGAAAGGGCGAAAGGTGACACCCCGGGGCCGGGAGAGAACTCGGGCCACGAAAGGTTTCCATGGAAACGCGACCTTCAAGGTGAGGGGGGGGGGGGAGTTAGGGGGGCAGGTGGGTTAGGGGGTTAGGGGGGGGGGGTTGGGGAGTTGGGGGGGTGGGGGGCCTTAAGCAGCTAATTAAGTGCAAGGGAGAGGGGCTTAAGGGGGGTTTGGGGTTTGTATGGTGTTTGCGGGTTGTATCGGCTTCTCAGACAACCAATCGAGGGCACCCAGATCAAAAGATACATCCCAGGACCCCTGCGATCAACAAGGGATCCTGTGAATCAGCTGATGAAGGTGTCAATGCCCCTTTGTGTAGTCCTTTTACTGGACTCTTGTATAAGAAGCTAAACAGTTGGAACAGCGCAACTTGTCTTGCTACCTGACTTCATGAGGCAGAAGGTGTTTCTGCCGAGGCTTGCCCTGAAATCGGCTGGGTTCACACAGAAACCAAAGGAAAGCTATTCTGTTTGGGGGTCCCTATCTCACTTCAGATCGAGTGGACTGGCCCAAAAAAGTCCTGGAACTTGTTGTCCACAACTCAACCAGTCTTCCCAAAAAGTTTATATTAATGGTCATGAGCGCAGATTGGGGCTACATATTTTGATGTTCCCCCTCAAAGGACTCCTGAAAAGCAAAACCAAAACCAAAGCTCCATGGGCCAAAGCGGCGATGGGTGAAACCACACACACACACACACGCCATCCATCTTTGCCGCCTTCTTTCCCCAGAAAACCCGCGTGCGCACGGAAGGAAGCAAACGTTGAGTTTACCACCCGTCCAGTCCTGGGGCTTATGAAGAACCAGTGTTTCTCATGCCACATATTGTCTTGAGGGGTGTCAAACGGGTTTGGTTGGGACCCACATTTTCTATCAAAGGACCCTTCGGGCACTAGTTTATCTCATGACAAAAGGCGGTTTTCAAGAAATTGCACAACCACATTCTAATCACGCAGGGTTCCTATTTTGGTGCTCCGCGGAAACGTAGAGCTGTCGATTCGAATGGGCCATCTTGAATGGATCCGCGTCGTATCGCAAAGGGAACTGGGCATTTTGAGCCCGAGTGAGTAGCTGGCCTGGCTTTTGGCGCAAGACTACTGAAATTTGAAAGCTATAAAAAATCAACAGAACGTGCTTTCTGGTCCCAAACAACCAGCCCATGGCGTGGAGATGGGATAAAGCCCCCCCCAGGGTGCTGGTTGCCAATAATTTGCCGAAATCGGCGCATGTTCCAACTAGGTCCTCCAGCAGACAGGTTAGAATAAGGGTACCAACTTTTTTCTGTAGGGGAACCCTCCCAACCAAAAAAGGGTGAGAAAGGGCACCTAGCTGGGGGACCTAGCCAGCAAATGTTACATGCTCGGTTCGCCGGCGCTCAGTTGCTGCTTAAACCATGTTCCAAACCGCAAGTGGCCAGCAAGCATCCTTGCGGGTGGAGATAGGAACAGGCTGAAACCTGCATTCTCATAGCATGTCCCGGGGTGGTGTTAACATGATCTTTGCCAATATGTCCCGTTAACCCCGTTAACCGATCGGAAATACCGATGTATCCGTGGTAAACATGTTGTTTGGCAATTTGCATGGGAATGGTGGGCATGTATTTTGCGTGCTGCACCTTTGGTAGATTCACGTGGGGATTCATGTCCATCAATTTGGAAGAGATCCTCTTTGAAATTCATAGCCTACTTGAAGGAGCAGGGTAATTAGTAGGTGGACAGTAGCCATGGTCCATGGCAAGTGGTTTTCTTGCCCATGGTTGCATCCACTTCCCTACGCACCCTGCCCCTTAACTTCCGTTTGCTTAACCCCCCTTGGAAAAATAAATAAATATTTCCAGTGGTGATCGATTCCTTTTAAAACCAACAGAGGAAAATTAGAACATATCAATATTCCTAAACAAATGATTGTGGGTCAAAAATAGGTACCCAAAATGGAACCCCGGTCCAATTCCTGGTGGTTTAATTTTGACCCACACCCAAATGGAAGTTAAAGTAGGAACCCCCCCTTTGCTGCGGGCTCCGGCGATGTGGGTATTCTTGCCGAAGGTGCCCAGGGCAGGCCTTGCGCGCAGCGAATCCAGCGCTGAGGTGACCGGTGCTTTTGGATTCCCACGGGCTTTGCCCGTGTTGGGTCCCCTATTTTAAGGCAGACCCAATTTGAACCCACAATCAAACCCAGTATTCAACGGGTTACCCACCGAGAGGAAGCTTTCCATGCCTTATGGCAACAAAGCAGCCCCCTCCCTTCACTTTGCCAGACGACGGCAATTGAGCAACCGGGAGCTGAAGGTATGTAGATGCAAACACAGACTCTGATGACCTTTCGGGCCCCCCTCTTGGCCAGGGCAACAGACTGATGCTGTCCTTCAATCCGAACCCCGAAGAAGGTTCTTACATGTTGAGTTGTTGGGGAAGCTTGGGCATTTCTCTCACCTCGATTTGTCGAATAATGGCACATCTGTTTCAAGATGATACTCAGGATTCATGATAGTGAACGACAAGGAGCACGCGGCTGGTTCATTGCAAAGGCCTGGTATTCCCTCAAGTTGAAAAACAATCAAGCATCGCCCGCCTAGATACCTCCAAAATCCAAAGGCTTGCAGCAACGAGGATGCTAGCCAAGCAGGGAAACCAACCAAATCCAGTGGCAAACATCTGCACTTGCATCAAACTGAACAAGGCATCCCCTCCCCCAGAAGACTTAGGCGCCACGCTTCAAGATGCAAGGGTATTTCCTGAGCACGCGCGAAGCCGAAGACGCCAGAAACAACTGGTGCTTCAAGCTTGCTGGCTGTGCATCACACAAAACACACGCGCGCACGGCTCAGTGCGCACGGCTCAGTGCGCACGGCTCAGTGCGCACGGCTCAGTGCCGCTCGCTTCGCTGAAGAAGTCGTAGTGCTCGGGAAGCAGGGAAAGCAAACCTGGAGAGATCTCCGACAAAAGTGCATCGGACACTGTGCAAGTGAATCACCGTTAAAAGACACTTCGCAACACCTCGGCCTCTCGACCAGGAATCTTGCCATCGCGAAAACCCAACACTTGGTGGACGTTGGAAGGGCAGCAACAATTTAAATGTTAGCAGTTAAGTGGTTGGATTCCCTTCTAAACCAGGACAAGCAAAACTGTAAGATGTTTCCCAACAACAACCATGAACAGGAGCCCAAAGGATTCATCGTTTCAACCTAAACCAAGGACCCCCTTTCGCTAGCCCCAACTTTCCTCCGAACACCAACGAGTTCTTGATGCGAATGTGAGCGAACTACTCAGTCAACAGGTGCCCCCCATTAAATAGGACACTGCGCCGAGTTGTTTCAGACCCTGTCTAAGGTTGGTTAAAAGGGAAACGAAAAGGAAGGAGCACAACTTTTGGGGGTCCCCCTATTTTCACACATACCCATTTATTGAGTGCTGTTTACTACCATCAACCAGAGTGACTGTGGTCCACAGCTCATGCAACTTGCATGTTCTCAGTAGTTTTCTTTCCGGGAATGCCTGGCACGCGGGGGAAAAAAGAAGAAAAACAACGTGCCTCCAATTTGCGAGAAACGAATTGAGCCTTTGTCAATCCCCTTGCGGTTTCCTGGAGGGGATCATGAAAGCAAGATGGGTGCATGTGACATCAAACAGCCTCCTTGAAAGTGGTCCCCCCTTTTCATGGCCAAGGGGAGAGTGTCCTAGAGATATGATGGTTCACCCTGGATTCGTTAAACTGGCAAATCAATATTGTTGAACATCTAAGATGAGCAACTGTGTTTGTCTGTTCCTCATTTGACAAACCCACACAAGGGCCAGAACCTTCCGAAGCAGGTTGAACATCCAAGTTAGGGCAACCCTTCCCCCCCAGCGCCTAGCTCCGCCGCCAGTTGCCGCAGCTTTCCCTGGTTGTGTCGGTCAAAAGGACGGGTTGGACGGATGGGGCAAGGACAACGAGGAATTGGGGGGGGGGGTTGGGTGGGGGTGTTATGACGGACACGGGTCTAATTTGCAACCACAGTGGTTAAGGTACACCAGACACTGGCGGGTCCAGGGGAAAGGACCCCTCTTGTGAAATTCTTCTTTGCTTGGGTCCGAAATAACGAGACAATTGAAATTGCCATTGGATTGTTTGGTATACCCCTCTGTCCATGCCCAGGAAAGTGTTGCCATGAGGGGTTCAACTGATTCGAAAGGGTCCAGGCTGAGAAGGAAGCAAACGGGGGATTTGTTAAGCCGTTGAACGAACACGAACACTTGCCTTGCTGATATCTCCATTCCCGACAGCTTCCCGGGACCCCAATCAATATATATATATATGCCATTTTCGGGGCCCCTTTCTTGTCACAAGCATCTGAAGCTGGGTCAAAAATAAAACTTCCTGGAACAAGAGCAACTCCGTTCATTCGGACTTGCTGCAAGCCTTTGTCTGCAGATTGCCATGAGGCCTGGTCTTGGTTGACGTTGGAAGGGGAGCAAAACATGAAGTTTTAGCAGTTAAGTGGTTGGATTGCAACCACTAAGCCACAATCAGCAAAATGGGAAACATGTGTCCCAAGAATTGGGAGGGAAGGGGGGAGAGGCCCCAAATCAGCCCAGCCCAGGCCCTAAGGCCTTGGTTGGGCTCCCTCAGGCCCCCTCTTTGGGCTTCCGTTCATTTGGGGAGTTGCCAAAGCGGTCCTGTAGGACAGTCATTCCCCACAAGCTTTAAGCAAGGGGCTAAATAGTTACACACGGGATTCGCAACGTGATCGTGTCATGAAGTCGGCTGCAAAGTACACAACCACGTTCTCATGGTCCAAGTGCTCTTAAAGTAACCTCGGTCTTGTTGAACCCTCCAACTCGCCAATTCATCATTTCCACCAAAGCGTCCTGGATTGACACGGCACACATACCAATGCGGTAGGTCACCTCGAATTGGCTATGATGTGCACTATGTATGTATATATATATATATACACAGATAGATATAGATATGATATGATTACATGATATGCATAGATAGTATCTCTGCATAGATAGTATCTCTGCATATATAATATATATATATATATATTATGTATATGTAATTTATATGAAATTATTGGCAGCAAAGATACAATGACTGTCCTATTCGCGCTCCCCTTCTCCCACATGGCCTTGTTCCGCAGGACATCCTTAGCTCTCGTCGGATTCGACCGCGTAGTGGCGTAGTGGTCTCATTTTCGGCTGCATGATGGAAACCAAAATGCGACTAATTTACACAGAAAACAAGGGGGATCTGCAACAAGTATCCAAAAACGTCGCTTTTCTTACCTGTTTGTCGATTTCTGCGGGACTTCCATTGATGGGAAGGGACATGGATTGCCACAAAGTCCTTCATGAGTGTTCACTCGTTCTATCCCCGAAGAGCTCGCCATCAAGCGGGAAATTGATTCCATGTCTTCGTCTAGGCTACCCAGGAAACCACCCATGAAAATCTGAAAGGAAAACTGGGCTGTCCTCAGATCCCCTGCTAAAAGTTTAACTTTTAGTGGGTTAAATGGAAATCCCCACTAAACACTAAAAAGCAAAGGGGATGGCTGGGAACCACCAAGAAAAGAGATGGGTACCTACTATTTTACTATAGGGGGTCCGTTGGGTAACGGGGGCAAGTCGTCACGGGTCTGAATGGACCGCATCTGCTCAGCCCGGAGCCTGCAGAAAAACAAGGAGATCACCTTTTGGGCAAAAAGGGGGAAACTAAAAGGTCAGATCAGGTAGATTCGCCTCCAAGCGAACACCTCGAAATCCGCTTCCAGCCTCAAACATGTTCCGTGAAACAGACACATCTAGTGGGTCGGGGCCAGAACGGCAAGCTCCAAGTACCAACCTTTTTCCTGGGTTGGTTTGAACCTCCTTCGGTCAGTTGACATCATACCCTGCAAAAAGTGGGTATGCGTTGAGTTCACCCCACCGAAGTGGATGCAGGCGTTTCGCAGTGGGTCACCCCGCCAGCCCTTTCGGTTCTTAAAGTGTGGTTTACTTGAAACCAGGGAAGTGGACTCACGCGCGTGTCAAAGAAAAAAAGATGTTTCGAGTTCGGGTGGCGTTTGAGAGCTGTGTGTTCTTCTTTCCCAAGAGTAGCCTTGTTGCTACTTCAAGTTGGCCATGCCATGGGGAGCCGGTTGACGTTGGAAGGGGAGCAAAAACTTAAGTTTTAGCAGTTCAGTGGGGATTTCAACCACTAAACCACAATAAGCAAACATGTTAAATGTTTCCCAACAACCACCATGTTAAGTACTCAGCGGCCCTCGAACTGGTTAAGGACACTGTCTCTCATTTACCCGGATTTGCCCTCCACAACCAGGGCTTCAAATCCAGATCCAAACCAGTCCAAACCAATTTGGGAATACCATGAAGTACCAACTTCGCCTGCAAAACAACAACACCGACACATAACTGGGCTGCCCGTTGTCTGATCCCCCTGCGAAAAGCTTAACCTTTGGTGGGTTGAACGGAACCACAAAACACTCCAAGGCTAAACCGCTGACCGGATGGCCTTCGGGAGCCACGAGGTTTTGGAGCCACCCACTCGGCCACTCGAGGCCAAGGGGCCACCACTTGGGGATCGCAGGTCAGGAGCTTCCAGCCCCGCCGCCGCAGCTCCTGCGCGTTCTCGGCCTCGGAGCGCGCCGCGCGCCGATTTTTTTCGTCCCGTCCCGGCGAAGGTTCGGCGCGGAGCGGACGCCCGCTTTAGAGCCGTGGAAGGCGGTGGAAAACCCGGGGCAAAAGAAAGCGCGGGGAAAAGGTCGGCCTGGTTTTTGTGTGTTTTCTTCGTGTTGTTGTTTTTTGCCGCGGGAGATGGGGGACACTCTCGAGCAGAGGTGGTGGTTTTGTGGGCGAAGTTTTTGAGCTCGTCCCGGCCCCATGTCTCGCCCAAATGGACCATGGACTGGAGATGTTGCCAGAACCTCAAGTTTAAGTGTCCTTTTACTCCCAATCCAGCTGTTCACAGCAAGCTACAGAAGAGTTCCAGGTGACATTGCGGGCCCGAAAACGAGCCCGTCATTTTGAGAAACGCCGAAAACATAAGCAGCTTTCTCTGCGAATCTTTGACTCTCCCCACTTTGTGGTACCAGCAGCATCCCAGAAGTTCCTAAGAGTGTTTCTCAAAACGGTGGACCTCCTTTGGTTAGTATTTACAGGCAAGCCGAAAGGAAATTGCTCAACCATTCTAGGCGAGAACTCCAACCCCCCCACAAAAACAAAAACACCATTTAAGGGAAAAGTTGAAGGCCAAAGCTTCCATTTGCTTAAGCCCCTGGCAAAAAATGGACACATGTCCAGTACTGATAGATTCCGTTTAAAACCAACACGGGAACATAAAACATCTTATTATAAGCAAATGCTTGGTTGCTGTTGACCCCCCCTGCAAAAAGTTTAACTTTTCTGGGGTTTAGTGGAAAACACCTTTCTTTCACCCAACAAGTTAAAGTCTAAAGATCCGTTGCCCAATAGCAGTCAAGAATGGAAGAACGGCCAGAGCTCTGCCACCTTTTTCTTTTTCCAGCTGCCGGCTGCCGGCCGCCGACCTGGCGCCAGATATGGCGAAAGGGTTCTACCAGAAGGGTGAGGCGAAATTTGCGAAGGTTCCAGGATGTCTGTTCTGAGGGTGCCCTTGTTTCTTGTCTCTTCGCTTCGGGAAGCCAAAAGGAAACCACCCATGGTTGTAGGGGGTGATTCCTTTTTCATTATTTTTAACCATGGTTCTTTTCACAAACCGGATCTGTTTCCCCTGGGTTTTTGATGGCTCCTGAAAAGAAGGATCCCTGGAAAGAATGGAAATGGAAGGTACCCCTAGAGGTGCCCTTGTTTCTTGTCCCTTCTCTTCGGGAAGCTAAAAGGAAACCACCCTGGGGGACACTTCCCCAGTCTTTCCAACAAGAACGATGGTTGAACAAAATGGTTGGAATCAACCTCTAGAATGTTGGGACACGTCGAAGGTTCCCCGAAAGATCCGGGCAGAGCTCCAAGGTCCCTAGTGGTAGAGAGGAGCAAGGCGTTCTAACTCCTTTGAGCCGTCTACACTCAAACTCCTGGGCAAATTGTTGGGGGATTTGAGTTGTCTCAAACAGGAAGCCCCAAAGCTCTTTCTTTCTTTCTCTCTCTCTCTCTCTTTCTTTCTCCTTCTCTCTTTCTCTCTTTCTCATTCTCTTTCTCGTTTTTTTTCTTCTTTTTCTCTCTCTCTCTCTCTCACTCTCTCTCTCTTCTTGCCCTCTTTTCTTCCCCGAGCCCAGACAATGGCTCGAAAAAGACCCACCCCTGAGCCATGTCCACGGGCAGGCTCGAGGGCGCTCGAGGCCCAGGCGGCCTAGAGCTGCGCGCGCTTCAGGAAGCCGAAGAGAGCTAGGCCTAAGGTCCTTGAGAGGATAGAAGAAGTTGGTACCCTACTTTTTTTTGGTTTTGTTTTTTTGCTTTTTTCTGGTTTGTCTATTTTAGTAGGGGAGCCCCTCCCCCCAAAAAAAAGTGGGTGAAAGGGCACTGGGGGACCTATACTTTCAGAAACCAGGTGGAAGCCCCAACAGCCCCGGAGTTGGAACCGAATCTCCAGAACCAAACGTAAGCACGGAGGGCCGTTAGGCCCCAATCCCCTAAGCTGCCCCAAACCACCCCGCGGAGCCTCCATCCATCGTAGACCCGGCTGCAAGCGCGCAGCGACTTTTCTCGCCTATCTGACGCCTATCTGACGCGCTGAGCATGGCTGGGCATGGCAAGCATGCCATAAGCGAAGGCAGGCGCTGGAACAATTTCCGCGGCCTGATAACTGATCATCCCCGATGGAAGTGCCTTTGGCCTTATCGTTTCTAGATCTAGCTGTTGCAAGCCTTGTGTAGCAGCGTTTGCTGGCTTTTGATTTGTTGTCCTCAAGCGCCCGTTGGCCACTTCCATCAGGGCTGCGCCAACTGCACATCTGGAGGTCGCTGGTGCTCTCACGTCACCAAGGCCCTAAAATTGCGTCAACTTCCAGGAGACCTGTGCTGCCTTTTACGCAGCACCCGCCTCACCTTCCATTGCGATGCGATCGAGGTTTCTCACACTACCCCCAAGGACTTCCTGGTGCTTCGCTTATGCAATCCAAAAGGTCTTTTGTGCCACCATTTGGCAGGGATCGCTGAATGTCCCCCCTTCCAAAGTTGCAAGTTACTGGTGGGGTTCCATTGAAACTGCCACAGCCTCTTTGGAGAAACACTTTGGCTTCGACTCACAGATTGGATGAGTCCCACACTGAACGAAATCCACGCGATGCACCCATTGACAGGTGACCTGTCCCAGTATTCAGGATGGTTTTGAAGCGCTTGTCCCATTCAGTTGATAAGTGGTGTGTCCCATTATTCAACCCTCAAAACGACAAGGTGGGATTCCATCTGGTAGGTAACCAAGGGACAACTATCGGGACAATTGCAACGGCTTGGCACATACCTATGTAACCAGAAACCTCGATCCATTGGCCGAAGCCTCACTTCCACTCCTTCGACGTCTCGGGCGCGTCCTCTGAGCCCTGGGCTGCACGGCCCACCGGCGTTGCAACCCCGAAAAACGTGCAATTGTGTATGATGTTAATGCATATAATAATAATAATATATATATATATACATACAGGGTCACCCACCCGGCACCCTCCGACCCCCACCTTTTACTAGTCCTACTTGGAAAGTGAATTGTATATATATATAATATATGTTCTACACATGTGTTTATATATATATAGTATACCGGAGGTACATTTTTCTGCTTGGTTAGCAAGCACTCGCTTCCATCGAGGGCCGCTTGCCAACTCGAAACGGCCACTGTTAGCTCGTCCCAACGACAAGCGTTTTCCCGACCATACGGCCTTCGAAGTGGCGTCTTGAGGCCAGCAATTCCGCCGCCCATGGTTAGAACACGGGTACCCGATTATTTTTGTCTATTTTAGTAGGGGAACCGTCCCCCAAAAAAGGGTAAAAGGGCACTACTGGGGGACCTAGCTACACACAAGTTATCACTGGTTTCGATCAATGGATTCCTTTCCTGGCCCTTCCGCATCTCTTTCCCTTCCGCGTCTCTTCCGCGCACACCGTGGGAAGCTCACGCCGTGTGAGCCTGGAAATTCAGAATACAACCGCATACATGGGTTTTAGCACGACTCCCATGTGTTTTAGGAGAACGGCGCTTTTTTCCGGTCGGGTTTGAGTTGGGTTTGTGGTGAATTCAGGGCTGGTTTAGAGTAGGTTTAGCGCTGGCTAGGGTGGGTTTAGGGCAGGTTGAGGCAAGATTAAGGGAAGGGTTTCTAGATTTTCTTTGGAAAGGGTTCTTGGTTTTCCTAGGTTCATAAGGGGCTAAAATGACGTGTTTTGCAGCATTGGCTCACAGCATGCGCCTGTTTTACCCTAGCACCGTCAACATCCCCAGCATCGGGTTTCAGCAGGGTTTCTGTAAGGCTTTTAGGGTTGCTGGTGATGTGAGATCAAGTTGGTTAACATATGTTGAAATTTAGGGCTCGTCCCAAATTCCCAAATGCACCCTTCGTACTTGTTTGCTGCTTTTGGGGCCTGACCCCTCCCCCCAACAAGAAAACACCACGCACTTAGTTGCGATGAGCGAGTCGCAAAGACCGGGGTGTCTTGAGGAAAAAAATGGGACAAACCCACACGCCCGGCTGCAATTCGACAATGCCAAGCCTGGACATCTGCAATGATTTTCATCATATAAGTATCAATCCCACATAAACCCTGAGGTTCAAGCCACCATTCAAACGATGGGGGCTCATATAACCATTATTTTCCTAAGGATTGTTATCCAAATTGGGTCCTTGCCATTCTTTTGATGGGGGCAAGGAACCCTAGAGTAATCCTGATGTGTTTGTTGAATTCTCGCCCCAGCTCGCCCCCGCCCTCCAAGACTCGCCTTTCTCTCGCTCGGAAGCGAGTCCTGACGAAAAGCAAAAAACCCATGGCCGCGCGCGCCACGCGCTCGCCAGGTGAAAAAATGGCAAACGCCCCTGGAGCCAAGTAGCCATGAGCGTCAATAAAGGAACGTAGAGAAACCCAGGGCGCCCGGTTTGGTCTTCCGGGCATTCCCCTTTTTATTTTTTGCTACACGAACAAAGGGCTTCAAATCGCCAAACCAATCCAAACCAACTAAGGGTTACGTGACTGTCAAAGTGTGGACTGGTCAAAAATCCAAAGGCTGGCTGTGTGTATGGGTCCAAACGTCTCCAAAGAAGAGGCGTGTCTGTTGCGCGCAAGCACAAATCTCCGCAAAGAAGGTCCGTGCAAAGAAGGTCGCGCAAAGAAGGTGGCCGTGATTGCAAGTCCCTTTCTGGGTTAGCAAAACACACAGCCAGGGGAACCCCCAAAATAGTGGTTTGCTTTTGGGTGTTCTTTAAAGCCCAGAGTGTTGAAATGCTACGAAACTAGCTGTCGGGATAAAGGACAACTTCTCAATCTTCTGCAGTTTGATAATCTTTTGGAGGCTTTAGGAAAAGAAGGTACAAAAAGGCTGCTGGACTCGCAACAGTTGCCCCATCCTGGGAGCTCTCTAATCTATTATGTGCATGTGAACTTCAGATGAATCCAGAGGATCATACTAATCCGGGTCCCCCAAGATGAATTGATTCCCCCTTCAAAAAACGAGACGCCCCGTCCCGAAATTGCTTTTTCTACATGGGTGTGGGTTGTTTGCGGCTAGCCATTTTCGGGTGAGACATTAAAAAGGAAAATCAAAAATTGTCCTTTTGGTTTCCCTTCTAGGTCCTCCAGTATAGAATAAGGGTGCCTTTTTTCTGTAGTCGATTTTAGTGGCACTACTGGGGGACCTAGTTGTCTTTTCGGCGTCCCTCTACATCAACCAGAAAGGGGTAACTCAAAAAGAAGCGCCACACATCCAGGCCTTACCCCAAGTGAGGCTGCCTTGGGGGCAGTGCTCCTGTCTGGGTCTTGAAATTCTCCCTCCAAAATGGCGTCGGATGGCATCTGGTTTCCCTCTAATGTTAACCCCGGATGAAACAGAACCCCTGGTTCATGACTGAGTTAGGCCCAGTTATAGAATGTATATTATATTGGTTGCTATCCCAAAGTCTACCCCAGGGTTGATTTATAGGGGGATGTCTCCTTTTAGTGGTTGGATTCAGACCACTTTTGGAGGGAACACCCCCCTAATAGTGGGACGGGTGCATTAATCCGTCAACATTAAAACGCCAAAAAAGGTGGTTTACCTCTTGGTTCCCCCCTTTAAACCCCACCAAAAAGGGGGGGGGCATATATTTACCACCCCCCACGTAAAACGACCAAGGCCGCCTGAGATCGGCTCATCGCCATGTCCGGTACCCCGAGAGAAACGCAAAGCGAAAGCGACCGCCTTGAGCTGGTGGACCAGCCAGTCCGACGGCTTGGGGTCCTGGAAAAGAAAGACCGGCGGCCACTTGGGGGAGATATGGCCATTGGGGGCTGGGGCTGGGGAGGCTAGGGGGGGGAGGAGGCCGGCAGGGTGGGGAGGGCTGGGAGTGTGGGGGTGGGTCGGGGACGGGGGGTCGGGAGGTGGCCATGGGTCAAAATCCAAATCGTACCAGTGAACATCCCAATCCAACCACTCAAATAGGTCCTAAGACGGGTGGTAAATTCTCCCCAAAATGGTACCATTGGTTTTGACAACCACAGCCATATTCATGGGGCCTGGGGCTGGGGGCCGGGGAGGAGGGGGAGGGCTGGGAGTGGGGGGAGGGCCGGGAGGGGGGTGAGGACGGGGGAGGGCGGGAGGGGGGAGGGTGAGGAAAGCCCCGACGAAGCTTGTTTAGGGTTTATTTGAGCTGGAGATACCGAGGCGGACCGAAACTGGAGATACCGCGGATGGACGGAATCCATTTCGCACCACTTGGAAACTTGAAGCCATGGTTGAAAAACCAGAAGGTTTGCTGGGATTTACAGGGGAATCGAATCAGTCCAGGGTTTCTTAGGGTGGTGCAGGATTTCGTCCATCCATAGTACGGGCACCACCTTTTTGGGTCCCCTAAAAGGGTGCTCTTGAGGGTCCCATAAATGCGTAAGGTACCACCAACTTGTTTGAGGGACTATTTTTGGTGTTGGTTGAAAACTAAACCAAAGAGAAGACCGAAGCCATGGGGAGGGAAACCCAAGCGGTACCACCAGTTTGGGGGGCCTCCTGAAAGGTACCCCCCGAACTCCCAGAAACTCACGGGGGGGGGCGCTGGGCTATATATATATATATATACAAATATACATATATAGATACAAACAAGTAGACTTTGGGTGGGTTTCTCTTGCGGAGAAGGTATGCTTTTTTGGTGGGGTAAACAGGTTTCCGGCTACCGCTACATACTAACTTGGCAACGAACATCCAATGGGGTTTTAAACCTAAAGACATGAGAAGTTCATGAGAAGCCAAAAAACCTATCCCAAGACCAAAACATGATGGCCCAAAATAACCAAACGTGGAAGCAAGGGCACTAAATTCACAGGATAAATGTCTGGCTTAGGGAAACCACATGCAAACCACCTTCTTGTGTGTTTCTTCTTCTTTTGTTTTTTCTGCGGGGGGGGGGGGGAGGAGGGGGGGCATTTTGAAACAACGCCATATGTGTCGTGTTAAAACTCCTTGCGTTCATGGCTTCCTCGCTTCACTGCAACTGGGCAACAAACTCTATCTTGAGGCCCATGATTAGAATCTGGGAAAACCCATGGTCGGGACCCCTTGGCGCCCAACAGGACACCTGTAAGCGCCCCTGCTATTGGGATTGGGGGAACGATAGAACAGGAGATGTTTCGGCGCTCGACCAACTGAAATCATGATCCCATAGGATACTGTGCAGCATTTTTTCCGGGAGAAGGTTGCACATTTTCCGCACCCCGCATGGGTTTCCCTCAAAAGCCCCAGCCTGAATGATTTGATTGCCGCAAAGGCTCAAACGACCCTCTTGCTTGGGGTTCGGGCCAATCAAGCCAAAAAGGAGAAAACACAATTCCTGGGCTATGCACCGCGTAACATATATGCCAACCCTTGCCTGCAAAACTCTTTGGGGCCATACCGGATCTACCGCATAGCGGATACATCTCCAAAACCCCCACCCGGAAATGATTTTGGAACTAGCCCTCAATCCAAAGCTTCCCCCCCAATTTTCCGAACCACTCAAAGGGTTTTTTTCAGGGAGGCCATGAAGAGTTGTTCCCAACAGATCCGGAAGATTCAATGTCCATGCAAGCGATCCAACCCTTCCCATTGGGACCGCAACCCCTCAGTTGGCACCAATTCCAAGGAGCATCCATAACCGGGATTTTGAAGCACCGTCCTTCCGCAAACCTTCCAGATATTTGCCCTGACATCCAAGGAAAACTCATCTAGAAGCCCGACGTTTCAGAGGGACCGGTCCCTGTTCCGGAAAACTTTCTTGACCGCTTTTCCCATGAAGGGACCCTCCACTGCCGCTCCTCTTTGGCTTCGCCTGTCAAACCGCACAAACAACACAAGAAACAACAAAGAAAACAAACACAAACACACACACACATACACACACACAAACATACACACAACCAAACAAACACTCACACAAACAACAAGCAAACACGCAGGCAGACAACACAAACAAACACAAACAAAAGGAAGCAAAAAAGGCAACAGACAGACAGAGAGAAAGACAGACAGACAAACAATCAGACAGACAAACCAGCAAACAAACACAAACAGACACACCAACAAACAAAACGACAAACAAACAAACAAACAAACAAAAGAAAACAAGCAAGCAAACAAACAAACAAAAAAGGCAAACAAGCAAAACAAACCAACCAAACAAACAAAACAACGCACTCCACAACAAACAAACAAAGCAAAACAAAACATCACTCAACCAACCAACCAAACAAACAAACAAGCAAGCAAACCAACAAACCCGCAAACAAACAAACAACCTAACAAACAAACAACCAAACAAACAAACCCACCAACAAACAAACAACCAAACAGCAGAAACGACAGAACCAACCAAAAACAGAACCAAACATGCAAACAAACAAACACGCCAGCCAGAAACAATAAGCAAACACACACTCTAAAACAAAAAACAAGCAAGCACACAACAGGACACAAGACAAACAAGCAAACAAGCAAAGCAACCAAAAGAAGAATGAAACAAACAAAAGACAAGCAAACAAACAACCAAACAACCAAACAAACACACAAACAAACAAACAAACAAATTACACCAAACATGTTGTCATCCCATGAAGTTGCCAGAAGCCAATGAATCTTACGGCGCTGTTAAAAACCCGTAAGCGCACATGCTGACCAAATTGGACTGCGGGGTTGCCTCACTTTGCTGAGTTTTGTTGGATTGCTTCATGCGCCGCCGGCAGGCAAACAAACAAACAAACCAACAAACAATCCCGACTAACTGGCTTAAGTAGACTGGACTAGACTACACTAAACTAAAGGCAAACAAGCAAACAACAAACACAACAGCGAAACAAAACAAGCGAAACTACACTAACCTAAGCAAACAAACAAGCAAGCAAGCAAGCAAGCAAGCAAACAAACAAACAAACAAATAGCTAAAGCAAACCAAACCGATATTAAATAAGCAAACCAAAGGCTGTTGGTTGCCCGCACTCCTTTGTCGCAAAGCAAAAAGAGGGGGGCAACTTCGCGAGCTTCGGCCGGGTGGCGCTTGAAGTCCCAGACCAATTTCACTGTGCGGTACCTGGGATAGGCAGGCAGGGACTCACCGACGCCCATGGGACGCCCATCCCCCCCTTTACAACCACAGGAAAAGCAAGAAACAGGTTTTCTATCGGTGTGTCTTTTTTGAGGGACCCCCACAAAAGTTGCGGGTGTTCCTTGTGGTTTTTCTTGAATTACAAGAAATACGGTGGATGGGTGCGAAATCCTATTCGCACCACCTAAGAAACCATGGAATGATTCGATTCCCCAATGTAAATACCAATGAACAATAGTTTCTCATGGTTTGCAAGTGGTGCCGGACTTCGTCCATCCACATGTGTTATATGGGTGTTTCCTTTTTTAGGGACCACCCCCCCCAAAGATTGCGGGTGTTTTTCTCCTTAATTACAAGAAATACTGTGGACGGTTGCGAGATCCATGTCGCACCACCTAAGAAAGTCTGGAACGATTCGATTCCCCAATGTAATACCAACAAACAATAGATTGTCATGGTTTGCGAGTGGTGCAGGATTTCGTCCATCCACAGTATGTTTTGTATGGTTTTATATGGGTGTGTCTTGTTTTGGGGGACCCCCTCCTTCTATACTGCGGGTGTTCCTTGTGGTTTCCCCTTAATACTCACCAAAAAATGGGCTACCAACTCTTCTTGGGTGTTTTGGATTCGGACTTGAAACCCTGGCTTTTGTAGAGGGTTGTATGAGGTCACGCAACATACGTTCGAATTTAGAGAGCCTCCTATCGTTTTCCAGCGTTTGGTCTGTAACACACATGTCATCCCTTCTGCTGGCGAAAGCACATGCGCACAGCTGCACCCCTGCACAGACTGGCTGCAGAGCCAGTCAGCAAGAAGATCTTTTTAGCCACGGCTAGTATCGCTGCTGCTGCTGCTGCTGCTGCTACTACTGCTGCTCTCTTTGGGGCTCGCGGAAGCGGCATTGTCAGGATTTCGCCGCTGGTCGCGCCTTTGCTTGCGCCGTGTCAGCTGCAGTTTGCGTTTTTGCACCAAGGCTTCAAACTGCGACTGGTTTAGAGTCTCTGAGTACACTTGGTTAGCCCCTGCGAGCAACAAGTGTTCCTGCGCCTTTCTGCCTCCTTGTCAGAGCAGTTTGGGGGGTAGTGTCTTAGCCCTTGTTGTTATCTGTCTTCAGCGAGAAACCAGGGACACCTGCGATGTAATGTCTGTCGAAGCAACCACGGAGGAATATGTGGGGGTGGACACTTTGACACCAAATCTCTTATTGGCAGGCCAAGGTGTCGAACTTAGGCAGTATATTTTGGAGATTCAGAAGCCTTCCGCCACCAGCTTGAACCTTTGCTCTGCTGGAATCTTCTTTGATGTTTGATCTAGAAGGACAACCAAGGGCGGAGTGGTTGGGTCTCGAGCTTTCTGCTCAGCGTGCATAGCCTCAACAGCTTTTTGCAAGTCTTGCAAATCTCGATGATGCCAATGCGGCGGGTCCGCGCTTTCGCCAGGTGTTGCTCCAGCATGCCAAACAGTCTGTCTGCCTCAGATTTCATGCGCTTCTCGACGCCAAAATGACATCCTCAGCGACATATTGGACCACACGAGTGCCATGGCCTGTCAGTGCCTTGCCTTTGTCTCGGACTCTGGGCCCCATTTCCGAGCCTACGAAAAACCTTTGGTTCAACTGCGTTGTCCTGTCGCAGAGGCGTTGTCACCACCTCGGCAGAACTTGGAGCCCGCGCCGATAGAACGCAGCCAAACACGGAGATCTCTTTGCGCGCCTACCCGCAACATGTTTTTTAACATAGTTTGTCGGGCACGTATTGGCAAAGTGACTAATTCCTTTCAAGCGGGTTAAAAGGGTCACGTGACCCGCCTCCGGCTCGGTCTGCAGCTGCGTTAAAACGGGCTTTTGGCGCTCCTTCGTTGTCAAAAGCCTCAAAGTAGTGCTCCATGTACAAGACCTGCCTGTGCTGCGCAAGCACCTCCTTCACTTGCGGCATGACTTTGCGATCCAGGTCGTGGCAGTACATGCACCAATGTGATTCGACCCAAGCAGGCTTGTAGTTCGCCAAATGCTTCTTCCAAATCTCAAATGAAAGCCAATGAAGGCAAGTCGGGTAGCAAGCAGACTCAGCACAAATGTCTCCCGCACATCGCCGCCATTGGCGAGCCGGTACTCGCTCCAGGTTACAAGAGGCATCGCGGGGCCGAAATGGCTCAGTTGGCACGTTGACTCTCAAGCACACAACACTGAGCATATGTTGGCAATAAAAGCGAAACAAGCATAAGCTAAAGGTATCGTTTTTTTTGAGAGTCCCCTATCGTTTTCCATGGCTTCAAGCATCTTGAGCAATACTATATGGATGTCCAAGTGTAGACTACTTTACTTTTCCGTAAATTCTGACCGCGCTTCATATGGGAAACCCATCCTTAACCACCAAACAACCAATCCAAACCACCAATTCGAGGAAAACTGATAGCGGTTTGGTGACCTCTTGGGCACCTTCCCCGTTTGGTTTCAAACGGTACTGAGGTTCAAGTCCCGAACCACCAATCCAAGCCACCAATTACGGGGTACCCTGAATGCCTCCGATGTTATGATGAATCCTCCAGGTTTTGTTAGACACTTGTTCAAGTTAAAGTTTAGGCAAGATAGGATAGTGGCTAGGGTTAGAAGAAATGGGTTCCTTTCCACTGCGAAAACACGCATGATTCTTTGATGCACGTGATCGAGGTCGTTTACTAGAACCCGTCTAGTCCAGTCCAGGTCCCTTAACTCTGGGCTGAGCGTTCCGTCAGATTGACATGGAACCCCAAAACCATGAGAGGTTCAAGATTTTGGGAGGGACAAAGGATGTCACGCAAAAACGAGGACTCTGTCATTGTCCCATGTCCCCTTGTGCCAGGAAGTAAGTAATGTTGACTGTGGCTCCTGTCGTCTTTTGGAACACGGTCTTCTCTACAAAGACCACTTGTTGGGCTCCGTGTTTGTTTGGGTGTGTGTTAAAATGGTCGGGATTCCTACGGTTTGCAGGGGAGCGGCGAGGAAAAGTCACCACTTAGAACGTCTACCGTGCGTTGAAGCTCCTTGAAACGAGGGTTTACTCAACTGCAGATTCACATGGAATCCAAGGTTCCCCAAAGGGAGGTTCCTCCTAAGGCTAGTGGGTTTTGGCGTTCCAGATGAACCTACAGGAGTGTACGCCTTTGAACCATGTCAAGTGGGGGTTGCTTGTATTCTTTATCTGCGGACTCTAAACTGCTCTTGGGTTAAGCGTCAGTCAAGAATCAAGCAGAATCCAAAAAATGAAATTGGATGCCTGTCAAAAGACCTCGGAGTAGAAGGTTGTCCCAAGAAAACAAAAGCAAGACAAACAAACTTTCGACGGCTCGCAACCCAAAAGTGTTTTCTAAGTACTTCATACTTGCCCAACGGACATGAAAATACTGGGTTGACCTTTTGGGGCCATGACTAAAAGTTGCACAACATAGGAACACAAAAAGGTCCAAAGGTCGGCTTTGTACAAGTGAGATTCACCTGCAGAGCTACCGGGATGTTTGTCAAAATCATGGAATGAGTTTGGACTCCCCTGACAACTGCTCCAAAGAGTTACCCCAAGTTTTGACAAATCCCCGACTCCTGGCAAGGCCAATCGTACTATATGGGCACTTCTTGGTGGCTGTAAAGGAAAACCAGAAGGAAAACCGTTGCGCCATGTTCTCACATGCCCAAGTAAGCATGGAAAAAAGGGGCATCCGTTTTTGGTTCGTTGACTTAAAGGGAACCCTTCCCCAAAAAAGGAACAAAGGGCACCACTGGGCAACTGGGTGTTGTGGGTCGGAAAACAAGTTTCGACGCGCCACACATGGCTGTTCCTATCGCTGACTTCGACGTGTCGAGGCCCGCCCTATTCTTACTTTCGCTGAAGAGACATGGCGTGGTCTAAATGCGTCTGTCATCTAGGTTTTCCAGTAGAGAGGCTAGAATAAGGTCCAAGGATAAAAACAAAGGCAAGATGCTCAACAAATCCAAGAGGGTACCAACTTTTTTCTGTAGTCTATTTTAGTAGGGGAACCCTCCCCGAGAAAGGGTCAAAGGGCACTACTGGGGGACCTAGGTCATGCTTGGTTGGACACCAATTTGGGGGTGTCTCAACAATTCGGGAACCGTTTCTCGGGATAGTTGGTGTTTTGGGGGAAGAGGGAAACTCTCCAACATGCGAGGTGGAGGTCAGACCATGGACAAGAGTCGATGAGTCCTCACAAGCTTGCTGTTCCAAGCTACACGGTGTTTGCCCCGATGCAAACGACGATCAGCTGAACCGCTGCATAAAAGTTACCTCGGCACGTCCAGGAAAGCTGCGGATGAGTGAAACTTTCATCCGCAAGTACTGGGTCCATTGAAGTGAAATCCTCAAAAACACCAAATTGTAGCTTGCAAAGAAATCACGCACTAGGCTTGCGTGCAGCCACAAGGAATTCATTGACGGCCTTTGTTTTCTGGCAGTAATGAAATACCCGCAATGGCTACAGGCACCCAAGTTTTGAGAAGCCCTCAAAATTCAACCACTTTAAGGGACAAGTTCATAGACGTTTCCTAGCACCCCCCGACAACCCCTCCTCAAACACACTTGGATGTTTGATCCATTTCCGTCTTTCCAGAGGGGGTGTGTTGGGGTGGTGTGTTTGGGGGTAGTGTGCTTTGGGGTGGTGTGTTTGGGGGTTGCGACAAGTGATAGCACACTTCTTGCTGGGCGTGTTGATCATCCCTCCTGAAAAACCCTAACAATGAGCGTCTGTGCCAAAGGCAAATTATCACCTGCAACACCGTTTCAACCATGACATTATGTGAGCGCCCATTTCGCCCATTGACTTTCAGCTCCTACACAATTGTAAAAGTTTATATGGGTGTGTCTTATCTTTAGGCGACCCCTCCAAATCGGTGGTTTTTCTGTTGGTTTACCCTTAAGACCAAGGCTTTACTGCTTCACTATCGAGTCGCCAGGGCCAAAATGACTCGGTGTTGGGCGCTGTGTCGAGGGATACGGCCACCCGAAATCTCGGGCGTCCAGCCGATTTGGGACCTCTGAATCCCCGGCCCTTTCTGGATCAAACTTTGGACTCTGGACATCATGGGTTAGATCATGTCCACTTTCCAAACTCTTCAAATCCATCGACAGAACCCCGTGGTCGGATCAATTTCGAGCCCTAAATGTTTGGGGTGTCCCCTAGAGCAGACTAAACGAGGAGCTTGCGGGCCCCACTCACATTCAGCTCCCACCATCCCACAGACCAGCACCCCACACCCACTGTGGATCCACACACCTACTGTGGATACACAAAATCTTGCACCACCCTAAGAAACCTTCGAATGATGATTCCCCTGCCCTAGGAGCCCAAGACCTCAAACAACGAGGCCTTTGGGGGTTCGAGGCCCTCATATTTTGTTTATTGGGAGCTGCAAATACCAACAAACAACGGTTTCAACCTGGTTTCAAAATTCCCAAGTGGTGCGAAATGCATTTCGTCCATCCACAGAATCTCCAGTTTTGGTCAGATTCTTTGGTCTCCAAGCGGGTGGTTGGTAGGGTCTCCCACTTGGATGACCACAGGCAAGTGGTGAATCCCCGCAGTTGTGTTCGTCCATTCCCGAGGATTTGCCCTACCCAGAGCGTCCACGTACCTTCTAAGGAGGTACTTAGACCCCTTTTTACCCCCCAAAAGCCATCCTCAGGAGGTACTTGGACCCTCTGGGCTAGTTGCATCTAAGCCACTCAGGGAACTTTGCTGTCATCCAAGTTGTTAGTTCTTCAGGTTTAAGCGTGCAACATCGACTCGAGGCTGGAGAGGCGGGATGGGCTCGGTTAAGCCGAGTGCCGAAAATCTGAACCAACTGCAGACAGGTGTCCTCCATTTGCTTCAGCCCCCTGGAAAACATGAAACATGTCCCGTAATTACTGATAGATTCCCTGTAAAACCAATAGGGGAAATGAAACATATTCTTCACCAAATGGAAGTTCTCCAGGCATTCTTGCAACATACCTGCAACCAGTGGTTTGGGATTGACTTCCTGGGTTGAATTTCCTTAGCGAAAACCCAAGCGCTCGGTTGGCCGTTTTGCTCAGCCTCGGCTGGAAGCTGCCCGTCCGGGGCCCCGGGCGCCCCCCAAAGTCCAAGATGGCCCGCGTGACGATGGGCGAGATGAAGCGCGCGCTGTTCACCGCGATCAGATTTCGCCTCGTCATTAGTCACTTGGCTATGGGTCAAAACCCCACAATTGCCCCGGGGTTTACACCCAGAAACTTGGCCACGAAGGCGGGATGCATTTCATGGCAATCAACCCGGCGGGTCTCGATTTGAAGCTCAACCCTCGGAAAATAAAAGAGAAACAACAAAACACAACAAAAAGCGCCCTAGACATATCCCATCATTCCCAAAACCCCTTACCACGGGGTTCCCAAAGAAGGCCTGTCGAAAAGGAAAATCAGACGGCGATTTAGGGGATTCGGGCATCTGAGTTCAAAGTTTTCTCAACCCGCCTACCCAAAACCCCGAAGGCCCAGGTGAAGAGGCTTAAAACACCTATTTGAGATCTGCACCTATACAGGAGGGTCTTTCTTTTAGGGCCCCCTCCAAAAATTCTAGGGGTACTTTCTCCATTATTTCCAGGGATCCGAATCTTTCTAGAAAGCCTCCCAAAACCCTGGGGAAAGAGCTGGTTGTTGACAAGAAGGATGGTTGAAAAGAATGGAAAATGAAGCAACCCCTAGAAAAGTGGTTGCATTCCTCTTGGTTTCCCTTTCAAGCCACAAAAACAAAGGGTTTCATTTCACCTTTCTCGAAATAGGAGCCGGCGCCCTAAGCTTGGTCTCCTATTGGGCTCCTGGATATACCAACCAAAACTCAAAAGGCGGGGTAAACAAACTAGGTTGACCTCCCATCTGAGTTGTGAGTCCCAACGCCCTCTACCCAATTTTTGAGGCGGGGTAAACTGTGGTTGCCCTCAAATCCCCCAACCTTTTGGCCCAACCCCATGGAAAAGACATGCTGAGTACCAGTATGGACGTTCCAATGGACCCAATCTGGAAAGTGAGCACCCGAAACACACTGACTTTTGGTTCTACTAAGCGCATGGCTCTAAAGGCTTCTAGAGGCCTCACTAAAAAAACCATACGAAGCCAGGCAGTAGAACCACCTACTAAAATGGACAGTACTAGATTGACCCTTTTGCATGAACCACGTGCCTTTCGGGCTCAGGGTATCCCAAGGCCTAAGCAAAAAAACGGCTGTGTAGCAACACCCTTGTCACCCAGCGATGGACTCAGATCTGGAAAAAAGGCACCCCCGCCAAAGGAAACTCGGGAGTTAAGAGTGCTTCAAAACTACAAAATCAGGGTCTTGTAGAGGGACTGGACATCCCTGCCCAAAAGGCTCCGTGCCCTTCCATGATTCTACCACCAAACTGCCCCTTCTGGGAAAACACACCTTGGGATCTTGGATCTCAAATATGACCCGAAAGTTGAACTCTCATGTCAAACAGGGACCACTGGGGTACAAACGCTCCACAGCAAAGCATGCGTACAACTTGCTCGAGATATCAAACCTCCAAATCACAAAAGTGCACTACCACAGTCCTGTCTCAAAGGCAGTTCATCCATCTCAGGCTCCGGCAATCGGTAGTTCTCCTCGGGTTCGCCGACCCCGAAACCCCAAGCCCACCCAAAGGGGATTTTGGACAAAAGGCAAGTTGGGACCCGCGTGGCATCCGAAACAAATCCTTCCACTTAAGCCCCTGGAAACCTAAATCCAGTCTTTCCAGCCGTGAAATCGATTCCCTTTAAAACCAACAAGAGAAAATCAAGCCCCTATGTTTCAACACTCACCCTTTCACGAGGGGCCCTTCTCAAAAAAAAAAAACACGGCAGATGTTCCCTTTAAACCAACAAGGACAATCAACACGTATTGGAACAACAACTGTATGGTTCGAAGACCCGCTCTCCACCCCATAAGATCCCCTTCTGAATAGACAAACATTTGTCTTAGGAAATTTGGAAGAAGAACACGCTTCCGCTTCTAGGTCCTCCAGTAGAGAGGTTAGAATAAGGGTACCCTTTTTTCTTGTAGTCTATTGTAGGTGAACCCTCCCAACCACAGAAAAGTTGGCACCAATTGCTGGACCTTCCGCTTCTTAGCCATTCCCACAGCCGCGTTTCCGGACCGCCACCGGGACCCGCTGACCCCGCCCGCCGCTGCCGCGATTGGCGCCGAGCGGCGTTGGAGAAGTCGGTGCCGGGCATCGCGGCGCTGGAGGCCCAGCCCTCGGCGATGCCGTTGGCCACCTGGGAAAGTCCGAGAAACCGACGGCCCCGACGGCCCGGCGTGTTTTTTGTTTGTTTGCCGGCGCGGGCGCCGTGCTTTTTTGTTCCCCCTTGTTTGTTTTGCTACAAATTGCTTAAGAAGTAAACGTAAGGTTTCTTTTTGAAACACTCATTTCGAATGAAACACACGTTTCTTTGTACAACGTTTCCTTTTTGTTGTTCAACAAGAAGTAAACGCTGGCTGCCGTACATCATCTGGCAGAATGAGAAACACACGAGGGTCAGACCAGTCCGAGCTACAACCCAAAAAACAATGCTGTACCTCCTAGCACGGAGAGTCAAATTGGAGTTCAAACACGGGTGAGGGTGGCTTCAGGAGGCAAGAAGGGAATTGAAGGATTTAAAGGACTTAAACGTGTGTGGGTGTGCGTGTGCGTGTGCGTGTGCGTGTGAGTGTGGGTGTGCGTGTGCGTGTGCGTGTGAGCGTGCCTGTGCGTGTGCGTGTGCGGTTGCGTGCGCGTGCGTGCGTGCGTGCGTGCGTGGGGGTGTGCTTGTGTCTGCGTCTGTGTCTGTGTGTTTGTGTGTGTGTCTAGTGAAATGTGTGTGTGTGTGTGTCAGTGAAATGTGTGTGTGTGTGTGTGTGTGTGTGTGTGTGTGTGTGTGTGTGTGTGTGTGTGTGTGTCTGTCCACTGTGTGTGTGTGTCTGTGTGTGTGTGTGTGTCTGTGCGTTTGTGTGTCTGCGTGTGCGTGTCTCTGTGTGTGTGTGTGTCTGTGTGTGTGTGTCTGTGTGTCTGTGTGTCTGTGTGTTTGTCTGTGTGTGTGTGTGTCTATGTGTGTGTGTGTGTTTGTCTGCGTGTGTCTGTGTGTCTCTGTGTGTGTGTGTCTCTTTGCATGTGTCTCTGTCTGTGTGTGTGTGTGTGTGTCTGTGTGTGTGTAACTGTGTGTGTGTCTGTGTGTGTGTGCGTGTGTTTGTGTGTGTCTGTGCCTGTGTGTGTGTCTGTGTGCGTGTCTGCTTCTGTGTGTGTCTGTTGTCTGTTTGTGTGTCTGTGTGCGTGTGTCCGTGTGTGTGTGTGTGTCTATGTGTGTGTGTGCCTGTGTGTGTGTGTCTGTGTGTGTCTGTGTGTGTGTGTGTGTCTGTGTGTGTGTGTATGTGTGTGTCTGTGTGTGTGGGTGTCTGTGTGTGTCTGTCTGTGTGTGTGTGTCTGTGTGTGTGTGTTTGTCTGTGTTTGTCTGTGTTTGTCTGTGTTTGTGTGTGTGTGGTGTGTGGGTGTGGGTGTGGGTGTGGGTGTGGGTGTGAATGTGTGGGTGTGGGTGTGTGGGTGTGTGGGTGTGTGGGTGTGTGGGTGTGTGGGTGTGTGGGTGTGTGGGTGTGTCTGTGTGTCTGTGTGTCTGTGTGTCTGCGTGTCTGTGTCTGTGTGTCTGTGTGTGTCTTGTGTGTCTGTGTGTGTATGTGCGTATGTGTGTCTGTGTGTCTGTGTGTCTGTGTCTGTGTCTGTGTCTGTGTCTGTGTCTGTGTCTGTGTGTGTCTGTGTGTTTCTGTGTGTGTCTGTGTGTGTGTGTCTGTGTGTTTCTGTGTGTGTCTGTGTGTGTCTGTGTGTGTGTGTCTGTGTGTCTGTGTGTGTGTGTGTGTCTGTGTCTGTGTCTGTGTCTGTGTCTGTGTCTGTGTCTGTATGTGTGTATGTGTGTGTGTTTGTGTTATTTCAGGCATCGAAGGAGCCTGGAGCCAAGTACCTGTCGTTTCAAGGCGGCAAGTGAGAACATACAGGATCACTTTGAAAGGTGTGGCCGTGCCTGAGGCATGTGTTTGCGGCATCTAGCCAGGTTCCATTGAAAAAAGCAAAAAAAACTGAGACAGATGGTGTTCCTTGTGGTTTCCAACTTCATCGGGGTCGGCTTGATTCGAAACAGATGTCTGGACCCTCGAAGCGCCCTGAACCGTGGCATCCAGGAGTATGTTTATTGGTGGTCACCATGAGTGTTTTGTCGTCCAAGTGTTTATCACACCCATGAATTGCCAGGTCTGGAAAAGCTCGTTACGCCCAATGTCCGGTGCAACCCAACTACCACTATACAGGTAAGACGGTTCCAACAACTGCCTTGGCAAGGAACACCCAACTGGGCTACATCTCTAGTCTTGGTATGGTAGCAAAAAACTTGGCTTTTTGCAGACCCCCAGTAAAATGAAACCAAAAAACTAAAGAACCAAAAAACATGCCAAGAACAGTGAAGGGCTATGTTCGCGTCATGTCAACACGCTTGCGCCGAAGCTGCGCTGGCGCAGCCGTAGACGAGGCCATCCGCGATTAGCAGGCTGCTGGCACCTTGAATTGAGCCACGTGAATCCATGGTTCACTGGTGTCAAAATGGGATCCCAGACATGGAGAAAGAAAAAAACAATAGGGGATGGGGTCGTAGCCAAGTTAGTAAGTTGGAGCGCTAACCCAGGCCACCCACTTATTGCCCCCTGTGCGGAAGGGGTAGACTTGTTAGGGGGTGAAAAACCCAAGGTGGCCGAACATTCAAGTAGGATCAAGAAGGCCTTGGCCACAAAAGACCAGGGTTTTGAGTGGGTGGGTCTTCTGAGTGTACCTATCCTGGCTTTACACCCTATTTTAATGGGAGCCCCGGATTTCCTTTTGCAAGGTTGGTCACCCACAAGAGTGATCCGGATTCCTCCTGAGCGAGAACGCCCTTCCATCAAGCCAGGCTTGTGAATCGGGGTTTGCGTTGCCCTAGGGCCTCGATATCCTATGTTGTCCTATGTTGTAAGAGGTGGACTGTTTGCTGGTTGGCACAATTCATTGTATGCGTGCGTGCGAGGTCCCGAGACATGAAAGGCAAAAGATCCAAACTCTAAAGTCCCCGGCCTTCGTCTAACTCGTTGGCACTGGCGACAGAGCGACCCTCTGAATCTGGCGCAAGCTTTCAGGGTGCCTCGTGTATAGCACCCAGATCCTCTAGTAGGGAGCTTACGTAGAATAAGGGTACCCTTTTTTTTCTGTAGTCTATTTTAGTCGGGGAACCCTCCCCAAGAAAAGAAACGGTAAAAGGAACGGCACCAATTGCTGGGGGACCAACCCTGCCAACCAAAAAAGTTGGTGAGAAAGGGCACCAATCGCTGGGGGACCTAGCCGGACCAAGAAACCCCTGGAGCTCGACGACTCCAACGCCTGAGCCTCCAACCCAAGACACCGAAGTCGAAGAGCATAAAGACCTCAGGTGGAGGGCTTGTTCCCAGCTTGACTCGGGCAAAGGGTATTGTGGGAAACACGTGTCCGCGCTCAAACAGCAAAAGTAGACCATCCAACGTACAAGTCCTCTAAGCAACAGAAGAACTTCCAATGATGTTCTCAGTCACTCTAATCCTCCTTTTCAGCAGGTGGGTAAGTGAACCCCTTTCAGACGCACCTCGGTCACCTCACTTCCTGAGGCGGAAGGGTTACAACAAATCCCGCCAAATGCGCTTCCCGAAAGGTCACGAAAGTCCTAAGCTGACAAAAATCAAACCAATCCCACCAAAATGATACCAAGATACTCGTCCCAAAAAGTTGCCAAAGTTTTTGAGGGAACACAGGGATCCTTACATTGTACACCTGAACATTGCAACTTGTAAATGGTGGTGTCCATTTCTTTATTTTGGTGTTGAAAAAGCCACATGTTTCACATGGTTGCAAAATGGAGATCTTTTAAGGAGCCCTGTTAGAGGGTACCTTTCATGGAATCTTAGAGGACCCTAGGGGTTCGGACCATTTTCCGCAGCCCAGCTTTGACAGATGTCAGCTAGCGACTGAACAGTTACCAAAGTTTTTGAGGAGACACTACTCCAGCTTTGCCACCCCAAAATTTCCGAGCGGCTCCCACCACACCGATGATGTTGGCGGCGAAGAAGACCTGGCCAGTCGGAAGGAATCGGGGAGGGGGGGGGGGGAGCGGAACCTCCCCGCCCGCTCCCACTCACATCATGATCCATGAGCAAGGTGATTTGGGTATGGATTCTTATTGGGGAGCGTTTATGGACAGTTATGGAGATTGATTATTATTTAGGTGAGATTTGTGCTTACCAACCATGTTGGAGAGAGTCCCTGTGAACATTCATCGTCATTTGTTTCTCCAGGACATGCTCGACATTTCGGGCTCGTCCCCCGGACTTTTTTCCGGGGAAAACCTGGTGGAAGCCATGTCTCGACCTATCCAAAAGTACCTGGCCTATTGGATCCTATTGGCTTGTCTATCTATCTACCTATTCATCCAATCAGTCCGTCTGTCCATCTACGCATCCACCTAGTCGTATATTTATATCTTTATCTGTTAATACCTATCCAACTACCTATACCCTGTCTAATCTGTTCGCTTGTCCATGTGTGTAACTATTGATATTTCTACGGTGTCTCTTCTATATGTGGTCTACTTCTGAGCCTGCCTATCTATCTACCTATTTGTCTTTCTGTCTACCTAGTGATGGTTTGGTATCTTTGTGTCAACATTTCTTGCGTCAACCTTTGCAGTTTGACTGTCTCCCTTTTGGCCTGTACATTTGTTCATCTGTCTATGTATCCACCGAACAATTTTCTACCTATCTTTTACACAAATATGGAATATATTGCGAATTCCCTACACACCTATCTGACGTAGCACCCAATACCGCCTCGTCCCGGAGCCTCGCGCGCAACTTTCGCGCTGATAGTTCGCGACTTTTGAAGCGGAAGCAAGTGCACTGCACACCTTCGTACTGAAACGCTGCGGTTTTCGAGTTGGAGCTGGAGAAGGTAACCTTTGCTACTACTGCCGTACTGACAAGTTGCGATGGCATACTACTATCGTACTGAGAAGCTGCGATTTTCGAGCTGGAGCTCGGAAAGCTTACTTCGAACACCGCCTTTGCGAGCTGAGGCTGGGAACGTGTAGAGGCTGCGCGTCTATCTCCGAACCTGCCGATATCAATGTCTGCCTTTACCCTCTACCTATCCACCAACCGTTCTATCTACCGGTCTATGAAGCTAGTTCGTTTTCTACTTGTCTGCATATCGTGTCTTCCTATCTATCTATCTATCTATCTATCAATCATCTTATCGATTTATGTATTCTAGTCTAGTCTAATCTAATCTAATCTAATCTATCTAATCTGTCTATCTATCCATCCATCCATCCATCCATCCATCTATCTATCTATTATCTACTCGTCCATTCGCCAACCAATCCAAGCAAACAGGCATGGGAACGACCACCACCCCTGCAACGCGCATTTCAACGGCACGGCGACGCACGCCTGCGCAGCGGAACGACCTGCCCTTCGCAAAGGCTATGTTCTAGGTCATCCAGTAGAGAGGTTAGAATAAGGGTACCCGATGTGTTTTTGGTTCTTTTTTCTGTAGTCTATTTTGGTAGGGGAACCCTCCCCCAAAAAAGGGTGACAAAGGGCATTGGTGGGGGACCTGGTGTTGCACGTCACCACGTTTTGAGCCTGGCCGAAGGAGGCCTTGGGCATTTTGCAAGGAGAGCTATGGGTGATGGGCATAGGTTCTGAACCATGTCCTTTTCGGGTTGAAATCGATGGGTCATCCCTGGTAGATGAGCAAAAACCACCCGGTAAACCAGGGCTCGCCATCCTATTTTTCCAGCAAAACCACCAAAAAGGACACCAAATCATTTTCTGAACCTTGATGGTCCAATAAAGGATCCAATCAAGGGGCGCCTCGGAGTCACCTGGCAATCCTATTTGCTTCTCAGACTGCGTCATCTGCGAACGGCGAACGCTTGCAGACGCATGAGCGCTTGTGGAGGCTTGCGGAGGCTTGCGGAGGCTTGCGGAGCTTGCATCTGGCGACCTGCTGACTCAAAAGACCCCAAACAAGAACCAGGAACCCTTCTGCTACACATTCGCGAAAAATTGGACTCGTCCCAGGTCCCGAACTGGACCATAGGCCAACCACTGGACATTTTGACCGAACCTCCCATGGCACCAGGGAAACGGCCTCCTGCAGGGAGGAACTCATCTACCCTCCCAAGGTGCCCATTCGCGGGGAGTCAATGACAAGGAGAACTGCTCATCCGAGCGGAGAACTCCAGTCACGCCGAGTCATTGACTCGCCGGCCCGGACGGGAACCGCTTTCTTCAAACAAGGCCTGTCACAGGTGTGATCCTGGCTGTTCCGACGACCCCGGCACAGGGAAATATGACACCTAGACCATGGAGTGCAAAGGGCAGCCGGGGCAACTCTGCGCCAGGCACCCACACCTATGCTCGTTAGTTGGCGTGGTCTGATCCGTGCGCGACGGCCAGCAAGAAAACTGCCAGCCCCCCCCCCAACAAAAGAAGAAGAAGAAGAAGAAGAGAGAATCGTGTGGTGCAAATGGCGAGGCCCAAACCATCAACTGGGTTTAATCACATATACTGTATGACTTCCACTCAATCCTGTGGGACCTCCACTAAACCAACTAAACACCTGAGCCCCCTGAGGAACCGGATGCCTGACTGTCGATGACTGACCCTTGCGCAAGTCAGGTTGGGGAAAGTGCAATTGGAATCGCTGGGTCTTGAAGAAAATCTGTAGGGCCGTATGTCAACCTCTCGAGTAATTCCTCTTCCGCTGGTGGGTATAAATGAAGCCAAACCAAATGCAAACCAGCGGAGCCCATCTATTTCCGAGAAAAACAAAGAACATCCATCTGCTTAAGTCCCCTGGATTAAAAACAAACAGTAGTGATAGATTCCCTGTAGCACACACAGGGGGAAAAAAGGTGTTCATTTCAGCAAATGGACGTAAAACAACGCCTAAAAACGGACACCCCCTGTTTCATGCTCATAGGTGTCCTTTTGGAGAAAAAATCGGTGGCCCTGGCAAGTGGAACCCAGTGGAACCCTTCTATTTGTAACCAAACTAACCTAAAAGGGACACCCCACCCCACCCTGCCCCACCCCAGGCCCCACCCACCCACCCACCCACCCCACCCACGCGACAGAAGTCCATCTCCCCTCCACTTCACTCCCCGACCCCCCCCTC